CAAAAGCCCACACTGTTTTTCTCAATATGCATATGTTATCACTATGGTGGTCTGAATTCTTGCAACACGCTTTATGTACGAATTCCGAGCTTTATTTTAATGGTTCCGTCAAAATTTCTAGAAATTTCATCACAATTTTTCCTTCATATGTGCTTCTGACTTAGACCTTCATTTGCTTAACCTCACATTTTCTCGCCAGACACATTGCCTCATCTAACCGGAGAAATGTTGCATCTGTTGTGCAGCTCCAAGTGTTTATGTCTCCTGTTTTTTTCCCTCAGGTTGTGGAAATGGGGGTTCCTCGGTTCAGCAGTTGGCTCTCATTCGGGATCTCAAACGCCGAAGGCAGAGCTACCGTGGAATTCACACTGCAAAAAAGTCATATATTGAAGTAGGTTTGTTTTACGCAGGTGTCTTTTTCTACGTCATTTCATCTCGTTTGGTGTATTTGATCGTTAAATTCTCAAATGAAAATATTTGTTACATATTTTCAGAAATTGCAACCCAAATTTCAGCGTTAACCTAATCCTCGTTTTTTTTCCTAAATTGAGGTTCTACGGGATGTAATAGAACACCATACCGCCCTTCTGAACAACCCTGTTGTTTCGCGTCAGTAAGTTAGAAACTCTTTGTAGCTAACTGTATTGTATTGTTTCCGGTCAAAAAATGCTATATTCCTACGTAGTTCTTTTTTTTAAAAAATTTCATTTTAACTCGATTGGTAATACTCATATATTTCAGATGTTGGGTCTTAACAAACTTGCTTATTTTGTCATTTTTACTCAAAGCAAGGGTGACACTCAAACATTGACTCCACATCAAAATCTGGTAGTGCTGCCCCATGTGAACTCTTTCAGAATCGAGTTAAATTTGTCAAGCGACTGGCTGACTTAAGCATCGGATTCATCTGTTGGGATTTCGGCGCTTGCGGTAGTTCATTCCATCTAAATTGGAATTTCCAGTTTTTTGGAGTATCGAGGTGTCGTACACTCGGAATGGGCTTTTTAAATCCTCCTCCCATCTGTTGTGCGTTAAAATGGGAACGCCAAAGGCTGGCTTACACTGCGTTGTTTTTATGGTTTGCGTGTAACTCTTTGAGACTTATAATCGTAAACCTTTTAACCCTTTTACAATGTTTTTAATAGCAACACGACGATTCCCGGCATAATATACCGAAGCCCTTCATGATTCCTTTCACCGTGTAATTTTTTGCGCAGTATCTATTTTCCTTTGGCGGGCTCCCTTCACTGTCTGCTTGTAGTGAATCCCGGGATAATGTCATTGTTCTGAATGTAATCCATGCTCGGGTAAATTGTGGCGTGATTGGTTTTGGTAGAAACTTATTATTGGACAAGTTGATGTCCTCATAAAAGAAGCCGACAGAAATGGTGACACATTTTTCTACCTGTTACTTGTAAGTCCTGGCTGAAACCTCATTTGGTTGTGTCCACCAGAAGCAAACACCAGTTGCTGCCTTTGTGGCTCCGGTTGGCACCCCAGAAAAGTATATTAACATGGCAATTTGCATCGCGTAAAAGCGAGTGCACTGCTGGGCTGCAAGCATGTCACGTTGTAAAGTCGATTTTGCTTCTTAAGCTATTCGTGTAGGTTATTAAGCAATCGAAAACGGCAGTTGAAGAAGGTAGCAACGCTGAAAATTCCGTCATGATGCATTCTGTTGATGAAACTTATATTGTTTTGGTTACAAATTTGAAAAAAATACATTAAACTGTGTTGTAGTTACCTAATTTTTCCCTACCTGACACAGATGGTAGGTTGACTAGGGCAGTCGCTGCATATGAATGCAACCGAATTATTGCATTGGTCATTATGATCCTTTATTTGTCATTTAAGACATCCTAGTCAAGACAGCTCGTCGACGTCAAAGTCTGGATGCCCTTCAGATTCCCACCACAGGTATAGTCATAAGTATTAATGCTCTCTGAGTTTTATTTAGCGGTAGTAAATTTGAAAACCGGTTTATCTGTCTTCTGTTACCTCAGTCAGGCGAAGTATCTCGTTGTTCACTCTATGCACCCATAATTCGAAATCACCTCTTCGTGTTTACTGGGGTTTGTGATCAAATGTATTGGTGAATTTTACAAGGTAGACTGCTTCCTGTTCAGTTTCGGCAATCACAACAGTGCGCAACCAAACGTTAAGTACCCTGTTTGCTACTACCGCAATGCAAACCATCTGCCAGGAAATACAATAAATGAATTTTAATAGTTCTTATGCTGTCGTGCAGTCTACTGGTTGTTATATTGTATTGACCTGCATTGGGATCTCCCCTTTCCTCTCGTAGTCGACCGGAGTACTCCCGCAGGCGGAGGTCGCGTTCTCCGCGAAACGGACGGAGTAAAGGCGAGAGGAAGAGACATCACTAGACTCGTTGTTCTCGGGAAATCTCACTTTTTGCCATTCGGTGTATCTATTAGTGGAATCGCAAGGTTTTGTAAGTTTCATATTCGAGGCGCTGTGACTTGGTGACATCACAGATAATTCTCAATGTAATTCAAGTGGGGCTAGTTTAACGTATTTAAAATTGTCTTCTGAATTCAGTACGGGGTCAGGCGACTTTGTATGCATATACCGGTTTAACTGTTACTTTTAAACACTATTGAAGCGCTAACTTTTGCCCAATTTCTTGGCATTTACAAACTACATCGTTCCTATCATGTGAAGGCGTTATCGGGTAAAAAACCTCAGAATCAGCCATGGGAACTGAAGTGTAAGCGTTTGCCGCATCCTGACTCATTTCATCATCATTTTTTGCGATGCTGACCCCAAATACCGAGGAAACGACAAACTGTGCAACATCAGTGCTCTGGCTTGATGTCGCTTATTATAGCCTACCGGTATGTAAGGTGACTGGACGTAGGCTTGTGCTTCAATCTGTGTGGTGCATTTCCCGATTTCTGGTCTTCGTCTAATACGTAGGGACTTCTAGGACAAAACCTCAAGCTCTAATAAACTCTGTATAACGCACCGAATGAGATGTTTTTGGCTTTCTCAGTCCTGCTTGCTAATTGCATTGGACCAAAATGTTGACCTACCCAATCAAGAATCCTAGGAAAAGCGATAGCTGCAGCAGACATTCAGTTGTTACTGTTCGTGATGTTCACTTTCCTGCCGTATGGACTCTGATAGCTTATAAAAAAAATTGGCCGAAAGCGTGGTGAAATTGAAAATTCCTGTTGGTTCGCCGGTCGACTCGAGATCCAAAATCGCGAAACTCGGAACAAATGCACACAGTCTGAGTATTGTGGGGCCTCAGTATGCTCAATAACATTAGGTGCCCTTGTGAAGCAGGTGCCAAGTAACGAGCTATTTCCAACGAAGATTAGATGCTGTCACCTAACTCTAAAAACCTTAGCTCGTTTTTCGAAAGGCCATAAATGTGTCTAGAACCTACCGGGTAGTTTTATTTAGCCACAAAGATATTTCAGTTAATTTAATTCTCAAAATCATGTTTTGACTTGCTTTTGAAAAATAATTTAGGACAGTTTTAAACTTGTGGGTTGTGAGTCTTGGAATTGGAAACCGTTGAACACGTTCTAGATATGTGGATTTAGAGAAAGTGCGGCCACAGCCAAACCCAATGCACTTTTGTAACATCCGGAGGCGATCATCTCTCATGTGTGTGAGGCATGTGAAGGGAAACCGAAGTGGTCGTAGCTTGGCGCATCATCCCTTACGAACACTGCTCAATCCTCGTTGGTTGAGGTGTACACGTTACAGCTGCACGTGATACTAGAGGTGGGGACTTAGTTCATCGATGAATCTCGATCTTAGGAGTGGACGAATTTAGCTTTCGGTATAGAAGTAGTGTCGAACTGGGTTAATTTAGTGTCAGCATGTCGTAACGTCAGATGGTGTGGTCCTATGGCGCCGCCTCGCAACGCACAACAGGAACCACCAAAGCAATCGTACTTTCCGCACACGCTTCAGCTGTACAGAAAGTTATTCGACTCCTCACAAAAATCCGCTTAAACTTTTCTTTGTCTGTCAACGAAACGGTAGGAATCTGGGAATCTGCTTGACATGAGCACTTGGCATCGATTATGTCAATAATACTTTATGCTTCCACACATCAGGATGACGATAGGTGTAAAATCATGGGTTTCCTTTTGTTCTGCATATATTCTCATCCGTTACACCAAATCCTACATCACAATGGATGAAACTACGAAATCGTCATTTTCGTCCTCTTTAATAAAGGTAACTACTTTATCTCTGCTGATGCAAAAGGAACGAGCTGACTCCTCATTCTCTCCATTTGTAGTTTGCCGGTTCGACTTAAGACCCTTTCCACACACCTTCAACTAGAGTAAATAGTGTAAGAAAAAGTGTCGATAACATACAATTCGACGAGTTGGCAATCGAGAATTTAAGTGGCTCCCCGACTCTAGAGGTCCCTATATTGTCATAGGAAGACGCTGTCCCCTTTAACAAATGAAATTATGTCGAAATTCTAAGAGAAATTCACGAGAGCTGTCTCAGACACCCCACACCTTCTTTGGCTTTTAAAGGGATTAAACAAAAATTTAGCTTGCAACAACGTTGACAGTACTCAAACCCCCTGCAGAGATTTCAAAGTAATCAAATGAAAAATAATATCTTTCGACTTATGTGGGGAATCTTGAGTCCATGAACGAATACACACCACTGATTTGGGAGTTATTGGCTGGCAATTTTTTTATTTTAATTGAGAAATTTCAACTTGACTACTGGATTAGTTAAATGTCACTCTTGAAGAGAGCGAATCATTGACTAATTAGTGTTATGGTTAGGGGTCTGGAAGCTGACAAAGTTGTCGCAGTGAGAAAAGGAACCTATCTGCATATTTCTGGTTGCACATGACACAGCCCTTCAGACTCAACTGCAAGTGCGAATTTGACAGCGACGCCGCGAAATGTAACACTTTTGATAATGAAGGCTGGCTAAAAGAATTTATGACGCTGTACATTGTGGATGGTTACAGATAACGGAAGGCGATTTCAGGGTTGTCTAGAGGTAAGGAGTAGATCAACCTCCTCCATGGGTGTGCGAAGTCGTAGCTCTCTTGATGTCAGAAGATCAACCACCTCCTCGGCATCCTCCGGGCAGTAACGAGCCAGGTCTGTGTAGAGAATCTGAAATTTTGCAATCGACTGCATTAAAATGGTAAGTTCAAGACAACACGACCAAAATCGATTAATGGGTGTTAGTGGTGCCAGGGGGAATAACCATGATTGGATTGCACTGCATTCTTCGGTTATCAAACCACAGGGAACTGTACACAAAATTTAACGTAAAGGCTCAGCAAACGAGGCCAGTCCCGAAGAACCTCGTATCATAACGCATGGTCCTCTCAGAAAATGGCCATGAAAACAACCAAAAGTAGTGACATTTGACATTCGCAGCCACCAGTGCTGCCAAAGCTAAAAAAGAAAGAAGCAGTTCGAGTTGGCCTTAAATTTTCACCTTGGCCCAGGGTAGGTCCTCAACTGCGCGGTAGAAGATCGCCTTGAAGGCGGTCCGTTGTTTCCGGTGGGCGTTAAAGTCGCCAATCAAGGACGAATTGCCCGGCTCCAGAGAGGAGGCTGCACCGCCGGCCACCGTCCACTCGAACGCCATGTAGGCCGACCACAGGACGATGCGCAGATGGTCCGCCCAGACAGACGGGCTCATTGTCAGCACAAGGCTCGGCATTCCACTGCCGAATCGAACTAGTGGGTTCATGGCCGACGCAGAGAGAGCCTTTTCGAAGGCGCAGCGAATGCGTGGAACAGCGCTCTGTATCCAACAGTGCGATAGAGGGTCGGAAGTGTCTAAGGCAACAAAGGTGGTGCGATTGCTTTCATACATGCAGGTTAGAATCTGATAACACAAAACTTAATTCTAACGTGTTCCGAAACATGCCTTAAATTTACCAAGATCTCACACGAGAAAACTAAAACTGTGCAGTCTTACCCAATAGCCACTTATAACAACCACTAAAAAAGTGTGCGAACTGCCAATAAAAAAATTGCAGTGAGACAAGTGGTCAAGAATATCAATGCCATTAATTGAATTATTCACGCACACACCCAGATACGCACTACGATGTCACCGAGCATTTACAAATCTCTTAGTCCTGTGTATTCAGATCATGAACAGTCTCACGTAACAATAATCGATTGTTTTTAGCCTCATGTGGCCTGAGAAAAAGCATTCCGAGCTGAAGGAATGAGTTAAGGAACGTTAATTGACATCACACATAGAGGTAGTAACGGCATTGAGGACAATGATGAAGTAATCATGGGAGCTTATTATGGAAAGACCCACCACTGCACCTCAGAAAGCTGGGGCCAAATCTAACCCCAAGCAGGATTCAATACTTCCCAGTTTGCAGTGCAGCCAAGATCTGCGTCTTTGTTGTCGCTTATTACAAAATTAAGCGATACAAAAGTACGTGTTTTGTTGACGCTTAGGTCAGTGAGGGATTTGTACGGATGATACACAGGCAGATGGAGGAAGTGAAAGCAGTCATACGCATTCAGAGCATGGGATCATTTAATTGTGGGGCCGCTTTCGGCTCAACCCTCTCTTTTAAAAATTAACTTGCTCTCAACCAACCGTAATTGGATTCTAGTTGGGTGTTAAGCAGCAGAAAGTTGCCACACACCATTGTGAACGGAGCTCCACAAAGACGCACAATGATAGGGGTGGTTCAGACAAAAGTATCACCACAAAGGAAACAGAGGAATCAGGGACTCACTGGTGTCGGAGGCACCGGCCACTAAGCTCGTCCAGTGTTCCAGCTCCAGACCCACACAGAGCAGGTCAGAACAGGAGGGCAGAACTCGAGCCAACAATTCGCTCTGTTGACTAGACGCAAGACCGAGAAGACAGCTAGGATCATTGTCCAGTTCGTCCACCTCCTCTAACTGTTTCCGCCGTCCCATTGTAGTGCGATGACATGTTGCGGTAAGGTGGTTAGCCACACGCTGACAAACACCACGGACACATTCGGAAAATCGAGACTCCAAAGAGGACAAGACAAGGGGTGGGAGAAGGCCTTGAAGACTACGCTGATATCTAAATTCAGATAAAACTGATCTCTGTGTGTTTCTGCAAGTGGATTAGGTGTAAATTAGTGTCAAAAGCTCTGTGACCGAACAACAAATACGGCACAAGGCACCGCGTCGAACAAGCATGAAGAGGAATAAGGCAAAACCTTTACTTATTTCACCGATTCAAAAATCCTTTGTGTTTTACTTAATGGCTAACTTACAATGAAATCCAACGAGAACTCACGATACTAGGCTTACGATTCGCCTTCGAAATTTAATGGAAAAAGTTTGCAAAAATTAAACGTACTGTCAACACGACGAAAATTTGAACATTGCACTAATATCAGCATGCTAATCAGAATTCTTAATTAGGACAATAAGCTAATCTAAAAAACGCGATTAGTAAAGGTGTGTTTTGTTTTTAACTACCAACTTTGGTGACCAACGAACAAAATCAACCTTTTAGCCAAAGGTACCTATTAAGCGTAAACATCCTAATAACATCGAAACACATAGATTTAACAATGTGAAGAATTTATTCGTGTGAGTGGTCATTCAAACCCTGTTTAAGGGGGATTTAAGGACACCTATTTAGTGTTTTTAATGGCTTAAATTTACAGGCTTTTACAATTATCAGGGTAAACTAGAATAAAGGAGGTAGAACTGGAAAAGATGATATAATTACAAAATTAAAACAAATCCATAACTGATGCAAACACATTTGCACTTATTTTGCACAATATCGTAAATTTGCATTAACTACAGCATTCTTCTGTTTGGACACTTTATGAAGAAACGGTCCAAAACCAAGAGTATGTGCGTGCCTACTTAGTCTCTTTTTGTTATGGGCAGTTGCTGCCCAGATTTCCACACGAAATTCATGATTCAGGCAAAAGTGGCCCAGGATATCAAACATGAAGCAGCATTTGGTAGATTAAGACTGGCACAACGTTCAAAGGTGTCAGAATTAATGTATTTATTCGAAATATGCGTGATTAATAAGGCGAATCCCATTACAATGAGTTGGAGGCACTTGCCCAGCCTTGTTCACACGCAGTCTTAGCAGTGAATAGGGGTTGCATTGCCCGAGTTTTTCAACTGAGACCACACGGTAAAACTAGCGTTAAGAAGAGACGTGACATGTCTTCCCCACACAAACAAGTATATGCCAATGACTCGCTGGTAATTGAAGGGGTAGGCTACCTTACGTCGATATTAGTAGATAGCATAAGTATTTTTTTGCAGTTGATCATTCCTATTAGACGAATAATAGACTAGTGCCGATTGAAAATATAATGCTAGTAAATGCTGATTCACTTTGACCTATGGGCTCACAGTGTGCGCTTCTAAGGTGGAACACGGTTCATGAACCATTTAAATTAGGAATTTAACGTACACTATGCTAAATGCTTTCATCTAACATTAAGAAGCCCCCCCCCCCGGTTAGAAAGACCCTACACCTAGAAGGAACTAACCTACGGCGGTCGGTGCTGCAGCCGCCCAATCCCCGAAAGGGACACCCCAATTCGCCACTGCACCAGCATGTCAAAATTAAATCGACTCATTTTGGCACAACGGAGCGATAGTAGGTAGTGCAGAAATAATGGCACCTTTACAGTCACGTTCACAAAGTTAAAATGCATTACCTTCAAATAAGTAATTAAACTTTAGGCGTTTACAGTTAGGACAACAACCGTTACAACCTTGTTGGGTCTGCATTTTAAATCCGAACACGTTTTGCATAGACCAATTTGGATGAAATTAATGATAATTTTTTAAGTATTAGTGACACCGGGTAAATATCATTGTGCAATAAAAGAGGCGAGAGAGGACTCACTCAATTGAGCAGGTCCTTGAGACGTGAGCCCCACAGTTGGCAGCCACTTTGAAGGGGAGTAAGTGGGTCCATTCGAAGGGGGAGGTAAAGAGAGGCATCTCGTCAACAGCGTAAAATTCACCAAGCAGTGCAATGAATGCCTCGGTCATTGAGCTTCGATTGCGTTGACACAGAAGGCTTACGCTGGTGATACTGGGCAGAGCCAGTCGGATGAAGCGACGCGATGCGCAACCAGCCGGGACACAGGTTTTGTCGGAGGACCACCAAGAACACTTAGCCGAGGAAGCAAAAGCACCGTCGACGTCGCGAAGAACCGGAAAGATTACTTCGCAAACCGGTTTCATTTTCTTTAGGATTGCAAGGATTTCAGTATAAAATTTGGTTAACTGACGCACAAGGAGCGGTAAGCGTGTAAATTTGGGGAATCCCCTTTAAAAAGCTAAATTAACACACTGGCTTGTCAGCCTCGAGTGGTTGTCCGCATAATTAGAACCTTTGAATAAAGAAATCTTAGCGATATTTGAGACATTTTTAACACACTGGTGTCGACAAATTGAAAACAAAGCCTAAGGCATAAATATCTTGGGTCACTTGCAGTACGAGTTAACGGATTATGGCCTAATTCGCCTAATTTCGGTAAAGGGTCTTCGAAAGAAACAATAATTAAAAGGTATAAATACAAAAACAAATGAAGTAGGGTAAGAAAAAAACAACAATAAAATTCGGAGCAACACGGCAAAAACAAATCAGAGTGACTATATGTTATAAAAAATCCATGAGGATAACAAAGTAGGGAAATAAATAAGTAGGTTAATGAAGGGAAAACTTCCACAACACAAAAAATAATCGAGCGCGCGCTGTTAACCGATTTTTTTAGAGAAAACAAATTCATAAATAATCAAACTTACATTTTCGTCCAATGTCAGCAGTTGAAGATGCAGAAGCAGAGAACTCAAAATACCAGCCAGGTTGGCTATCGAATGCTGTGTTAGCCGAGAGTGAGCTCTAAAAGCAACCGAGGACCGCAGTGTCTCGAGGCGTTGAGCAAGCTGGTTGCCAATTTCGGCGAGAGACTCGCGCTGAATGGTTTGGTGCTCGTCGTCCGCCAGCGGGACGAAGGCACCGCCCGCTGCTGCGTGTCGAACGAGGTGCAGTGCGCGACTGAAGCGGCCCTGGCAGCACGAGGCCCGGACAAGGTCAATAGGAAAGTTCACACCCAGTTCAAATTCAAGAAAGGCCTGCCGAAACAAATGTAAACAAGAAAATGACGAAATCTGTAAATTCCTAGACGAAGATGAAAGGCCCTTAGAGTACTCAACAAGCCGCTTTGACGGCCTTCACTCAAATAAAAAGTATAATTGTTAGGGAACGTTGGACAAATACACAGCTTGACGACGAAACCGGACCACTTAAAAGTTTGTGGTCAACGATTTCCCAAGCAAAAGTCAGGTCAAAATTATGCTGATGTAGGTGTACTGACAATAACAATGGCTTACATGAAGAATTTGTAAACGCGGCAATAGCAGGTTCAGTTGGTGTTCTAAGGTCGTCTCTGTCGAAGCACTCGAATGCGCCGGCACGGGGTACATGCGTAGCGTGGACGTGAATACCTTACGTGCTTCAGTAAATAAGAGCGAACTATCGTCTGGCGTGGCACAAGCCGTTCGCACAAGCCCTTTAGCATATGCCAACCACAGACTCAGGTCACTTTGAGCGTGGTTCGAGGCCGACAACAAGTTTCTAGCTTTCTTCCTCCAAAGCCCAAGTGCAGCCTAATTAAAAAAAGACCTGTTACTCAAATCAAATTTGAATCAGATATTGACAAGGTGAATAAATCAACCTTAGGAGTGATCTGTTTGGTCACCAATGCCCGTTCAATAGAAGAGGCAAGATGGCAGAACTTCAATCGTCCAATTGTTGATTGCCAGGTGCAGTCGCCAACAAAGAGACGTGAAGCCTGCTCGAGGGAAGATCCAGCAAGAACCACACGCATTCTTGAACTAACATTAGAGCTTGCACTGCCGGCTTCGAGGCTCGAACGAAGCCATGGGAATCCGAATTGGCGTGGGTTTATACCCTGACGTTGCAAACAACTCACAGATGAGAGTTCGTGTACTTGCTGTAGGTCTACAAAGTTTAATTTAACAAAATGATTAAGTACATTCGAGTAGCAAGCACTAGAATCCGGGAAATGAGGTAAAATGAATGCATAAGTATAACAGACGGTTCTACTTATTCTTATAAGTACAGATCATTTGCAATTCAAAACTAATCATTGATTAAGTTTAAATGTAAGGATGAGTTCCCGTGGGCGGAAGAACACCCTGAGCTTGAGTCTTATTACAAGTTACCTCACCTGCAGGTAGCTTGTACTCCACGGCAACATCGGCATCCCAAATGCCCAAAAACTCGAGAAAGAGTAGCACAAGGCGTTGCCGTCGTCTATCTAGCACAGCCTGATCTGATACTGTCTGATCTAAGTGTACCTCTAGGAGACAAGGCTCAATATCCTCAAATCGGGGTTGCCTGTCTGCATCCTCAGTCATCGAAGTGTCCAGTAGTGTTGCGCCGGCAGGCAACCAACCCGCGGATTCGCGGGCACGCTCAAGACCGAGCCAGGCAAGGCCACGTGACAGGCGGTTGGTGAGGCTGCCGTCACCCGATTGGTAACCCTTAAAGCTCAGATTTGCGGCACCATCCGAACTTTCGGTGTTATCGCCATGAGAATTATTGAAGTTTAGTAAGGCGTCCTCTGCAGTTTCACTGACGGCTGAAAAATGAACGAAAATAATGAACATGAATATCCCATTTTTTTAATATTAACTCATCCATGTCAAACACTGCTGAATACAATTGTTCTCGAGGCTTTGTTAGTTTAATAGTTCGAACCTTGGGGTTTACTTTGAGAACCTATCATATTCAAAATTCAAACACTGTCCATTATGGTGATGGCGCATATCTACGCGTAACCAAAGGAATCACAGCGAGGACGAAGATGATGATGATAAGTCAGTTTACCTACATGAACGATGCAGTTGTGTAGAAACTAATAACAAAACCGCATGTACATACACTTGTGAGCAGTAAACAGCGATCTTGTGTTGCTTGAGTACATTTCAGATGAGGTTCTATAACACGCAATCAAATCAGGCTAGGTGCAGAGAAGACTAAACTTGAAATCGTCGCAATAATAACGGCAGTTCAATGGGCTAAATGACGAGATAGAATTAGGAGGTTAAATAATGGTAGGCTTTGTGAAATGAACGGTAATGGTGTGGACAATGAACAAATGTACCTAAATGACAACACAACTTCCTCATTGCGCACTTTTACCCACACACTGATTGAGCAAACGTTTAGGAAATGGGGATGAGGATTTCAAGCACAGAATAATGGCCAAATAATTTCTTACCATTCCATTCCCTTGTGATTTGGCCCCATCTTGCAGTGGAGCTTGGAGAAACAGAACCCCATTCCTCATCTATTTCAGCAATTGGTGTATTATTGGTGGTGGTTGAGGCGCCCTTTGGTACGTCAGTCTTTTCTTCCCCGGAATACCAACGAGCCCAGCCCCTTGCTCCAGGTACCCCGAAAAGGGGCCTAGTGTTTTCCGAAGTCCAGAATCGCTCAAACTCACGCTGTCTTTCAGAGAGTGTGGTGCCGTGCTTTGATTGGAGGCGGGAAGGGCAATAACAAACGAATTCCACGACCGCTTGCCAAATTGAGAAGGCACGCTCGGTAAAGCCGGTCTGTGCCAACCACTGACAGTACTCCGCGAGGAGGTCTAAAAAAGATGTTTACTCACAGCAAAAATGCGCCCCGTGAGGTGCAACGGGAGACAGCAATATTGTTCTAACTGGTTAGTCTGTGGTATCGGACAATACCAGAACCTCAAAACCTCCAAATACACCATGAAACCATGCGCTACTATTTAACAAGATGAACAAACGTAAAAGACTAGTCCGCACCTGAAATGTCACAAACGATAGGACTTCCGGCATTTGACATCTAAACGAATTAAGCACCTATGCATAAGCACATCCTTGACACATGATTCATGGCCTCGGTAGAACTGATTCGGTATTATCAATTCAAACTGGCTGTTTGAGTTCCTATGACACTTAAGTCTTGGTGGAAAAAACTTTAGACCATTAGAATCTGCTTCATAATTATGATATAAATAAAGGACCCATATAGGGCAAAGTTCAGTCATCTACAAGGAGTTGTATGGTCCACTCAACCAGTTACGACTGCAGCGGCCGAAGTTAGCACCACCACAAAACCCACAGATAGCAGCCGGTCGCAACCCGAGAAGAGAGAAGACAGAGTCGACAGAAGCCACGACCCTTCTTATTCGCGTCACGCCAGACAAATCAAGTCGAGTAAAATCGAGTAACCAACTTCCGTGTGCGTGTCGTCGATACGCGTGCGTAACAGGCGACGGCTAACAAGGGCCCACACGCAGCACTCACGCGCGGTGGCTGTCTGTCCACTACACCACATTCAAGGTAAAAATCGCTCGATTTGCGTGCCCTCACGACTGCCAACTGGGTCGGCTTGCTGCTCGCCACACGACGTTTAATAAATAGTAAAAAAGTAATGCGCTTCAGTTATGATTCACTTTGGTTTCAGATATTCAACACACACGCATGCACGCTGGCATTATGTAATTAATTTTTGATTATTTGTCTACTAAATTGGGTGGATTAACCATTCCAGAAGCTATTTTCATTACTAATGATGTCCTCGGTCCATTTCTCTCTTGGATGGGTACGACATTAACAGCAGACACCATACGAACCAATAAGCAGGTAAAAGTTTCGCAAGTCCGTGGCAAAAAACCTTACGTCGTGTGGTTCTAACAAATCAATTCCCATGGTATCATGGATGACAATGGACTCATGCAATTAGGCTGCGTAGAGAGACCCCCAAGATTCTAACAGGAAATAGGGCCTTAAATTTTTCAGAATACATTCAATGACCTCAATTTGAGTCTAAAATTTCGAGGCCAGAATGCGTTTTGTGTTTTATTGCACAATTGGACGTTAATAGCAAAGGTGGCTACAATGATTGTCTTACCAACGGTTTGATCGGCAGTGTCTTCGCTGGGTTTGTGTGAAAGTATACGCCCGGAAACAATCCCAGAAAGGGTTGTCAGTGCCCTCCTGTACACGGCATCAATACGTCCGAATGCACTCGTAGGACCGGTGTCTACACTAACACTGAAGAGCCCAAAACGCCCCCGCAGATGAGCCAAGTAACCGCGCCAAACGCAAACAAACTGAGGACATGTGAAGACCAGTTGCGACCACTCTCTGGCCACTTGATCCTTGTACTGCAGGCTCTCAAGTGCAGAAGAAGAAGAGGGACGCACTCCGCTCGCGATAAGCTCAGTCGTATACTCGCGTAGAGCCGTCAATAATATGCGCAAACGCAGGTTCCCCGAGTTCGCAGCTATAGCGCGCTCCACTATAGCAATCTGTCTTTCAAGGAGAACCAAACGATGTCGATCAGAAGGTCCCTGATCCTGTTCAACGTCATTGTTTAGCAGCTGAACCTCAACTAACTCGAGCCAGGTTCTAACACTGCCTGGGGTCTCGTATACCGTGCGATTCAAGTCAGCGATCCTCTGAAGGCTAGGAGTTCTCTCAGACTTTGGATCTTCCGACAACGAGGCTGGGGATCCCCATTGAAGCGAAATATAGGGCTTGGGAACGTCAATTGCATCCTCCTTGGCAGTTTCAATTGGAGCACCAGGCACAGCCAGGCGAATCCGATTTTTTTTACTAAAGTATCGCTTTCGCCGATTTCTTTTAATCTCCTCTTTAACAGCCTCCGGATTGAGATCTAAAAGACGGAGGGTTCCACGGGAACCAATAATAGGCACGCACTCATTTTGCCGGAATTTCGCCACATCGCCCTCGTAGATGGATCCATACTTGTAGATGTTTCGGTTAGAGCTTGTGTCGATGCTGTACAGATCAATTGCATTGAATGGCCGTCCTTCTTGTGGGGACGAAATGGGACTGTGCTGCGTCTTTTGGGACCTGTAAAGTGAACAATTTCACAAATCACAAGGTCCCCTAAATTGGAGTGGGGCTTTTAAAATGCGGTAAACATCATCCAGTTCCCTCAAGTTTGGATTAAAGGGATATATTTCGAACCAAATACTTATTAAGCATGGTTCTGTATTTCTCATAGTATGGCATTTTGCATGACATTTCCTTGGCAATGGTTTGAATGAATTCAAAAGTTTACCTAAATATAAGAATGCGAAATACAAATCCTAACATGCAATAGTCGAAACTGCAATAGAAGCCAATTTACCTTACTTATGGTAGTCGTCCAAACAAATAGTATGGTACAGAACATTATATAGCATATAGTATTTTTTAGAAACAATGCGGTAAAGATGAAAATAACAGTAGTGACAACCAGTGATTCCAGATTCGGATAATTGATTCGGAGTTGCACCAGTCGCATAATTGGAATATTTAACACGAACGTGAAACCAAAAGCGTCAAGAAGGGCCATCAAGAGAACGGAGGACTCAATCCCAATCAGAAGGAATTGAAAGGCTTAATATGTTTTTTTCCATTTTTATTAACCATAAAAGGACAAAAGAAATCAGATGGAAGACTAAAAGCCACGTTTAATTAGGTTCATGACATTCTCTTCCAGTAAATATTAAATTTATACAAAATAAATAAATACTAATTCTACCAACATCTAAATCCTTGAAATTTTTGTTTTTACTTTAAGTGCAGATAAGTATATGATGCTTACTCGCTAAGTTTGCGTTTTTTCTTGCACTTAACTTTCCCCAAAGAAGGAACGGTTGATGCTGATGGTCGATATGATGAGCTCTGAAGCCAACTGCCGAGATCAGAAACGGCATTTTTTGGCCGTTCTGCCGAAGAGATATTTGCAGCTGATGGAAACATATCTAATGATAAAAAATTCATAAGTAAAATAACAGGCGAGGTACAGATTCATGTAATCCGATTTCAAGCTTGTAATGGTCCGGTAAGTCAGCACTGAAAAATACTAACCGCTCAGAATAAAAAGCATTGTACGCAGACAAAGGTTATTTCTCCCAAATGGATAAAACACTTTGACCGAAATGTGACATCATTTTTATAAATATAAGAGTCCCAGTTATATCGTGATGATGACAGATCCCATTGTGGCTAGTCACGGGTGTCATTAGATGGAAAATCTGCCCCTAATTAAAAGCGGCCAATGAGGGGAAACTCATCAAAAGTGTGAAACGGAGGAAATTAGCCACTTTGGCAACGTTAACGTTAGGTAGAATATCGCGGCAGGAAAAGCATGTTACGATTTGTGCGACTTTTTAGTAGTGATTGCTATTTGTAGCAAATAACAAAAGCCTAGTAAAGGCGCCATATATTAACAAAGAAATGCTGATGACGCAAAAACACTCTAATCAGTAAATAAAAGTGTAAAGAAAAGAAACAGGAACCACAATTGTCTCATTGTAACTACACTGAACGTGCATATTCTGGTCAAAAAAAATAAAAAATCAAAGCTACTTAAAGGAACAGATTGTCCCAAGTACAAAAAACTGAACAAGGGTTCACCTTAACCAATATTCATTTCAATGCGAAAAACGGTAATATGCAGCTGTAGAATTAGTGTAACAAACACGTAAGGACAAACCAGGGTTAGGTAAATTACACTTCTGATGTGTGGTGTGGCGTCGAATTAGGGCGCAGACATATTGGACCACCTGGCCTCAGCCAATCCTGTGCCTCTCTACGTTCCAATGGCATGCGAGGAAGGTAAGCAGCCAACCAGAGGAGGACACGACTGAGGAGCAGTATATAATGGGCGGCGTGGCCAGCGTGGCGGACTCGGATGGAAGGCGCCCGACGTGTGGCTCTGGCTTTTGATTGGTCAATAAAGCCTGTTCCGTTGTACCGGTCTTTTACCTATTATGGCTCGGGTATTCTACAGTGGCGTCGGATTAGGACGCAGACATGTTGGACCACTTGGCCGCAGCCAATCCCGTGTCTCTCTGCGATCCAATGGCATGCAGGAAAGGAAGGCAGCCAACCAGAGAAGGACATGGATGAGATGCAGTATATAATGAGCGGCGTGGCCAGCGTGGTGGACTCGGATGGAAAGCGCCTGACGCGTGGCTCTGGCTTCTGATTGGTCAATAAAGCCTGTTCTGTTGTACTGGTCTTATACCTATTAGGGCTCGGGTATTCCACAACAAACCAGGGTTAGGTAAATTACACTTGTGACGACGTCTTCTGGGGCGCAGGCATATTGGACTGCGCTGGCCTCAGCGAATCCTGTGTCTCCCTTCGATCCATTGGCATGTGAGGAAGATAAGCAACCAACCAGAGAGGGACACGAATGATGTGCAGTATATAAACAGCGGCGTGGTCACCTTGGCGTATTAGGATGGAAGGCGCCTGACTTGTGGCTCTGGTTTGCGATCAGTCAGTAAAGCCTGCTCTGCTGTACCAGTCTTCTTCCTATTTTGGCTAGGACATTCTACACTGCTTGTGTGGCGACGTAAAGGGGCGTGGACATATTGGACCACGTTGGCCACAGCCAATCCTCAGTCTCCCTTCGATCCATTGGCATGCGAGGAAGATATGCAGTCAACCAGAGAAGGACTCGAATGAGGAGCGGTATATAATGAGTGGCGTGGCCAGCAAGTGGACTCGGATGGAGTGCAGAGATCTGGTCTAAGAGAAGAGATGGACTACTGGTGATTTGCACGAGGGACATAGTCCAGGCAAACATATGAAGAAAAGCATGGTACCGAGTCAGGAAACTTTTAGAATAATTTATTCGGAGCACGGTTACAGGGCGAACATAGAAAAAGAGGACTAATTTGATGACAGAATTCGTGAGACATGAGATGATCCATAGACTAATTGTTAGTCGTAGTGTCCGGATTCTTCCTTTGGTACTTATGCTTCCAGTCGACAATATTAGGAACACTCTGGTGTGCCGGGCCTGGTCTGGCCTGTTCTATAGGAAATCTCCTGAAAGGGTAGAAGTTATGTTATGCAAAGGGAAAAATGGTGTGTGAGAGTAGGTTGAGTGTTACTAGGGTAGTGAGCTCGACTCTAACGTAGAGTATGACACGTCAAAGTGTAACCGCTGCCATCAGAACGTAATTCCCCTGGGCATGATAAGAGAGCTATGGGGCAGTTATGCGGGTTTATTGGAACAAAGTACAACGGGAGTCTCCAATTTCAGGGTTAACAGTTCATTGTTGGCTGGGTGTTTGCTTATATACTTGGTCCGGGTTGTTCGTGTCCGCCTTATTGGTTCCGGCTTCGCTTCTAAAAATAGAATGACAGTCTCGCGAGGTGATTGGCTCTTTGGGTTTTGGCGCTCCATTTGATGGAGTCCTTCTGCCTCCACGCTACAGGACGCCTGAGGTGTTATTCTGGCTTGTTATTGGTCAATAAAGCCTGTCCGGTTGTTCCAGTCTTCTTCATACATGGCTCGAGTATTCTCCTGTGGCTACGTATAAGGGCGCAGACATACTGGACCACGCTGGCCGCAGTCAATCCTCTGTCTTTCTGCGTTCCAATGTCATGCTGCGAAGATAAGCAGCCAACCAGAGATAGACACGAATTACGAGCAGTATATAATGAGCTACGTAGGCAGCGTGGTGGACACGAATGTATGGGCCCTGACTTGTGATTGTGGCTTGTGGTTGATCAATGAAGCCGGTTCTGCTGTATCAGTCTTCATACCAAGTCTCGGGTATTCTACACTATACCGCAGAAATATTGAAATTCCCCGAGCTTATTCAATCCTGTTTATGTGGGTGTTTGAGTGACCCACGTAGAAGGATGAATAAGAAGCACTATGTTATGGGCGGTGCAGCTACTACGGTGTACTTGGGCAGACGACGCTTGTTCTAGTTTTGTGTCTTGTTAATTGGTCTATAACGCCTGCTTTGTTTGGAGTCTTTTTCAAACTAGGGCTAGTATATTCTACAACGGTGACAGCATTGTCGTTTGAATAAAGCGAGTTGAGGCATTAGCACAATAAGCCAACGAATCATAACTTAGTGTTTGAAAACAAGGCATTTCGATATATTGAAAAATGCACTTCTAAGAGTGGAAGTATAAAGGCATATGGACATCCCAAGTATATTAACTGGCTGAAAACTTCCCTTTAGAGTGGATTAAGTTTATGACAGTTTGTCACTCTCTTATAAGTGTTGTCCTCAAACAGGGAATAATTACACAGATATGCTTAGTCATATTCCTTTGATATTCTAGAATTTTGTGAGTAAAATTAGAAATTGGCGATATTTCTTCACCATTTTTCATTTTGTCATATAGCAATCCTCGATTATGAGAATTTCGACTTTATTAAGATTTCTTTTTCCATGTGTAACTCCTATATGTCTATAATACAAAATATTAAGTAACTTAACTTTGTAGGTCAATGCGACTGCTCCAGATGGCACTTAAGGACACTTCACAGTTTTACTCCTTATTGCCAAGATCTTATCAATTGATTTAAACAGATTTCTACTGCGTTTCTAGCAGATGTCATATTGTAGATCTGTTTAAGTTAAATTCGTCCCGATTTTTTTTAAAAGGATAGCATTATTGAAATGCAAAATCGTAATCTATTTACCGTGCCGCCCTTGAATACGTAACCCAGGTCTTAGATTATATTACTTGTATACATTTCCAACTTAATCTTGCATTGATTGCTGCTGAGTCATGTAAACCAATCCGCTTATTTTTATAACACTTTCAGTTCCCGTCTTGCCCTTCTTTCATGCCCACATTTCCGATTCCATATTTTTGAGTCAAACGAATTTCTTGACTTATAATTAATTTAAGACAGATTTGTTCTTTGAATTGCTTACACTGCGGTCAGTAATCAGGAGTGGAACTAAGATCTAATCTTGTGTGAGCACTTGTCAATTCCAATAATCTGACTAACTTTGATGGATAGCTTGGCTCTTACTTCTCGTTTAAAATCGATAGATATCTCATACTTCAAAAGTGTTTTTAATCAACATGTTTTCTGCACGAGCCCTTCTTTGGGTAAAGATTTTCGGTTAAAATCAAATTTTAGTCCCGATTCAGGTTACCTACAGATAGTTATTTCGGAATTTTGAAACTTTGACAAACCCCTTATCCTAAGATAATCAGCAGACGATTTTGGCTTTTTACACTCTGTATTAATCTTGGCAAATATCCTTATTCTATGCATCTCTTATACCACTCAGGCATTAAGCAACACATGTCTAGGTACGAAATTTATTTGTAATGCTTCGCATCCACAATCTGATTCGCTTTCGTTCTCAAGAAATTTATCATTATTAGATTGCTGGCGAAACGAAATTACATATCATGCTTGCATCAACCATTTGCATGATAATGCTAACAATATCAAAACAGTTTGCAGCTCACTTATGATACACAAAATCAGCGAATTTGAAACTAAATTATAAATTGATGTTGTTGCTAAAGCATTTAATTGCTTGACTGAATGCGTTCGCAGTGCAATTTATTCCTTGACCATTAATGTGATACAACTCTATAACAAACTATAATGCTGCAAATGATATGCAATTTACAGCACAATTGTCTTCGGAAACATGTGCAGTGTAAGCGCTTGCATAAACACCTAAAGTTTGTTCCAAAAATCCTACTTTCATTCAGTGATTCTTAGATACGGATAAATCCTTTTCATGATCACTACATTATAACAACCTTCAACAATTGATTATGCCTGTATTGTTGGTTTATATTTCAATTAAGCATCTAGCTGTCCTTATCACCAAATCTTCATAAAAGGCATCTGCTTGTTATACCGCTGCGTAATTTACATTGTTTTGATCTGTTAACCTAAGGCTTTATGTAATTTTGATCGATTTAGGTCTAATTTATTAAGGATTTATGCACATCAACGTTGTCGTTTTAATCGTTTTAATCGTTCTGTCAAGATTCTAGGTCATTCAATGTATTGTCCTTTTGAACGATCAATAGAGGTGATGACTTACTATTCCGAAAAATTAGACGAAATTTCAAAATAAGATTTTTCTTATCTTCTAATTGCATTCACTTAAATCCCCACTAATAATTTCCACACGACATGGACAACTTCATTGTCATGTCCAACGAAATTTGTCATCTTTTGTTTCAGTTGAAATTTTATTCGCAATTTACAAATAGAGATTTGTTTTAAGGTCTCAGAGTTTACTGTTATCAAAAATAAGCCATTCTGATTCGCTAGGAAGCATTGTTCAACACCGTCTAGATATGCGTAACGTAGTCTAGTTCTTCATACATTTTGCTCCAAATGCTGTAAACATTGTTTCGAACCTCACTCAGGTTGACTGATTTTTCTAGTTAAACGCAGATAAAAGAAGTAATGTATCCTTTAGTGAAAATGCCAAGTAGGAAGAATGTAATGAAGTCGTTCAAATTGGGTGTCTTTGAGTATCGTGACTGTTGTTAGTCTCCAAACACTTGAGAATTCTCCGTAAATACCAATACGGAGAACAATATGTGCTTCGAAGGCGTGTGCGTACCACATTAGAAGAAGTTGCTGTGGTCCCCAGCATGTGGTCTTAAACCATGCCGGGGCCACGGAATTAACCCTGGCCCGATTATCCTTCCGGATACCCGCGATGAAGAAAAAGATCGGAGAGAAGGTGGACACAACCGTTTACTTCAGATCTCGACCAAAACTGGTGTCGTGTCGTGTGTGGGGTTTGTGCGTGTGTATTTATATCTCGGATGTGTGAGCTATACATGCGCTAACATGGAGACCTGTGTGTGAGGTTAGTCCAAGATAAATATTCGTGTGAATGAAGGGGGAGTTGAGGAATCGCGCGGCTGGCGACAGGCTGCGACAAAGGGAACCATGTGTAGGAGGTGGAGCGAATGGATTAAGGGGTTGAATAAACTCGATTCACAATAAAGCATTTTCCTTGATCAAACTCCTGGAGTAGAGGAGGTCAGGTGGCGATTTGCACTTCAAGACACATTGACCGATGTGGAGGGCTTCTTGACTCTTTTTGCCACCTCCCGCATATGGGATTTACTCGTCGAACCGCTTCGCCCCAACACCAGGATGAGGAAGCTCTTTTGCATTTGCCTCTCACACTCACGGGTTCTTTGTTTAAGAATAGGTAAATCATTTTCTAATATTAGTTGAGTAATCGGTCTACTTTGGAAAACATATTGGAACACAAAACAATTGTGGACATGTGTCCCATAATTTTGGATGTTATTGTCCGAGCTGTTTCAGCCTAATAAAAAGTGGTGTTACGTCTGTCATTTTGGTTGCATTGATTTAAGATCCAGTAGAACCGTTGAGAAGTTTGGTTGTCACAAAAGGCTTCCACGTGAAGTTGAAAGGAGAATTATGCACCGTTCTGCGAGCGAAGGAGGCAAAAAAGTCCACAATGTGGCTAATTCCATTAGTAAAATATTGAAGGGCAGAGTAGTTGCGTGTTTTAACTCAAGGCTACGTTCTTATTGCGTCCTTTTCAGATTAATTCTACAGTACATCCAAAATTTTTTTATTGCCATGAAATAGTGGCTGTAAAAGCCTCATAACTATTCAAAACAGCTAGACCCCTGTGTTAGTCAAGACCATTTATTTTTCAGAGAAAAATATCAAGTACATTTTTAAGATAAGATTGCTATTTTCCACAAAATAGTGACGAAAGTTTATAGGTAGTTGTTGGGGTCCCCGGCATGTTATCTTGAGCTGCGCCGGGGCCACTGCGTCAGATCTATATGCTGACTGTGCTACCCTGAGTACCCGCTAAGATGAAGAAGACAACTCAACCTAATTGTGTTGTGTTGACACCGTTGAGTGGACTAGTAAAAATACGGGCGTCTGAATAGTCACATGGATAGAGCGGGTGGTGGTGGTACATACAGAGGGGTTGATGGCTGGGCGGTCCCAGTGACTGACGCACACGCCGTGAAAGGAGAGGGCGTGTGTGAGGCTGCGAAGACTGGGCTGCTGGACGCGAATCGACACGAATCACTACATAGTCATGTTCTTTGTTGGGTCGGACGTATCACGCGGTAGCCTTTGCTACTTGACTTCGTCTGTTCGATTTCCTGACTTGGATCCCAAGCTCGAATTTACCAACCTTTTACAAATTATCGAATTTGTCGATGTAGGTGACAGTGCGAGTGAGCATAAAAACCGTGTGGGTAATAGAATGATGTAATGGAGTAGTACAAACGGTAAATAGATTATTTAGCGACATCCTCTGGCTGTCAGTTCTTTAAATGTTTTAATATGATATACCAGTTCTTGGACATTGGAGGGCACCGGTTCCTTTTTTTTAATTTTAGATTGGATTGGGATTGGAAGTTATTTACTATTAGGAAGTCAAAGCAATCGTACTGTAGCCTTGGGAATGTCATTGCTTTCATCAAAATTTAATCAAATATGAGATACTGATAAATCTGCCTGTTTTGATAACTGAATGGTCCTTTTTTGTTGTTCTTATCGTTAGACAAGTTCAATCACACCATACGGTTTCTCTTTAAGCACATCCCCTCTAGCTGATGGAAGAAACTATCGGTAGGATGTGTTATCTCGAGGATCTTAAAACTAGATAATCAGGACTACAGTAAAGTTGGTTCAACAGAAGAAAATATCCACGTGAAGTACGTCAAATTTTTGCATGCTTGTTTAATGGTTTAACAGGAATTCGAGTCGCAGTCATTAAACAACGCGCCCACGTGTCGGCAGGGTGTTTATCGATCGATAATCACCCTGTTAAACTTAGCGAATGCGACACTAAAATCTCCTGTTTTTCAATCTAAAAATGCCTGAACGTCCTGTGGACTTAGGAGCTATACTGAAGTCAGAATTCATTGCCCCTGGTCGAATGGGCTACATTCGAAATTCCATGTTTAAACGGGAAACCCTTATAAGGGCACCAGTAGGAAGGCATGTTACACGAGGAAGATCGCTGCCACCGTCATGCTTTGTCTATGGCATGAAAAATAAGTGGAACCCAAATGCAATGAATGAGTGCATGACTTGGTGCAACTACAAGCCCGTTTACGACCCTCAAAGGTTCGGGGTTGACTACCAGAAAACAAATGTGGAAAGTGCCAAGGCGAACATTTACCGAGTACCCGAGTGGATAGCCTTCCGAAAGGAAAAGGACTTTCATATAAATCCAGTCGAAAAAAAGGGCGAACGATTCAAGAAGCCGATCTTTCCTGTAGATATGGTTTTTGGAAGGCCTCCTCGTCCGGGCACACCATTTAACTGCGTTATCTCCCATTATTACAAAACAGAATTTGACAGAAAAGCAATTGAGTACGTTCTATACGTTTTATAGCTTCATAAAAGCTATACAGCTGAAATTTATCAATTTTAACAAATAAATTAAAGTTGCAAATACGTGTGTAGCGAAGCTTTCTTAAAAATTAAAACTTTGCATAATGCAGCATCAACCTCAATAGATCAAATGTATTTTGGACCCCATTAGATCTTTCACTGTAGTTTTGTAGCACAAATGACCGATAATGGCACGTAGTTAAAAAATAGCACCATAAATTAGAAACCGAATTGTTGGAGATTCGGAAGATCTCTACCTCCTTTTTAAAGTCTGCGAATTGGGATACTGGAGGGGTACCGATGCGGTTGTCAGTTCCAGAAACATTGACACCATACTAAAATGACTCAAACGGAAAAGTTATCGTCAGATGATTTGACAATCTCGAACTCAACTTGACCCCCAATGTCCTGAAAAAGTGGTTAATGCCCTTTGTACGTCGCGTTCAATGTAGGTAATAGCTGCTGATCTTCCACCAAGCACATACATTGCTGTCTTCACAGCAAATGTTGGAATATACCAATTTATTACCAAAAAGCCAAATTAAACTGTTATCATAAGCATACCCTAGTTTCCTGCCATACAAATCGGAGATAGTGAAATAGTAAATGGGTAAGAGGGTGGAGCAGATTAATTCTTCTTGATGCGACCTGACTTTCACATACACCGCTAACCGTTATGTATTTTAATTGATGTGTCCAGGTGCAAACGAATCCTAATAACTATCACAACTTACGAATTTGCATCTATCTCGAAAATAGCTTTGAATTAGGGGGATTTTCTGTAAGATTTTAGAAAAGCCATGTTCCATGTATTAAATATTCTTATTAACGGTGGGGATTCGGTTCAATCTGGGCCCCTCTGCACATTTTTACCAAACATCACCACTCTGAATATTTATCCTACAATATTCAGAAGACATGCCCTTATTCTTTGGCTCCTCATACTTTTAGGGATAATGTCAAGTTTTTGACAAAAATGGACATCCAAAGAAATAAAACGCCACAGCCATACGATACCCTCAAGTCGACATCTTCTGTGATGCCTCTGCCCCAGCAACCGAAGTCCGGGAAATTGTGGACGATGAAGCGTTTCCAAGGTCAACCACCACGAGTCTCTAGTTACTGGGATAAGGAACGTGGAAGAAAACTTCAAGAAAAGATGTTCGAGAAACATATTTGCGACGTGCAAAAGTGATTAGCTTTTAACATGTTTGCACTTTAAAAAAAGCATTCGGCAGCTTCGGAAATTACGTCTTCTCCTAACGGTTTATATGAATGGGTAAATTCACAAGTCAGTAACTACCAGACAAGAGTAACGATTTTGTGCTTCCAGAAATCCACTCCCTAAACCTATTTTGGAGTGGTCGCTTTGGTAGACGTTGACTAGAGCATTTGGGATTCAAAAGGCAGCTCTCATGAAGTTAAGAATGTAATCAACGACTTCATGACTAACGTTTTCCGAGAGATTAGTCGTCTTCTTATCCGGACTGAAATGATTTAGCGTCCATTTCGTGGGCTTAAAAGAAGGATGTGGTTTGACTGAGTGCTGCCACTCCCATGCAAATTTTACCACATTAAAAGCGACATCATTCGCGTTTTCTACACTAGAGCCATAATTCTAGAATCAATTTTTAATATTAGGAAAACATACAAAACATATTAGGCACAATTTAGGAGCTCCTTAATCCTCTTACCATGTCTTGCGAGTGACATAAATACGGAGAAGGGTTTTGCACTTTTTACACAGGCTGGATTGGCATCGAGTTAACAGGTTTTAACATTATTCAAGGCCCAACAGAAACTGAGCCGCATGGAGCCTTAATTCCTCATAGTTGTACTAGGTATGAGGCATTTTACCGCAATTTTAGAGAGAAAATTGCCACAAACCAGGCTTCCTAAAAACTCAATGTACTTGAATACACCTACCCTATCACTCTGACCGTCCATCATCACATTTGGTAGACATTCCGCGATTTCAATTATACTCATTTACTAAACCCAGTTTATCCAGACAACAATGACAACAAAAAAAAACTTACTTCTCGGACCTTCCTACCAATTTATTTACCAGCACTTATATGTCCACTTCATACAGCATTAATTCTGCTTAATTATTTGACCCACATAACTCCGACCTTAACGGTTGTGGCACCAAGAAACTCCGGCTAGATAGCTTATGTCGGTAAAGAAGTCGACCAGTACCACAAGTCGCTAGCACTGATCGGAAGGCCGGAAAAAGTGAATTCTCTTGTTAAATGGACGGCTAAGTGGTATTTGAATTAAAGGGGAAAAATTTTGGCGGCTATAAGTCACATAATTAACTTGTTACGATTTACAACGACCTATGACCTACAATTACGGTTGAGTTGCAACTGAGGTGTGGGCACAGCCTTGAAAATTCGGAAATCAAGCTCAGAGGATAGCCCAGCGTTTTGCATTACGACATCGCAAATGATTTGGCAATAATACGCAACAACAGAAAAACCGACTCAGTCACTAGATACCATTTATTGATGCACAAAAATAGGAGAAACAAGCTAGCATATGGCTACTTAGAATGTCGATGAGGCATTGATCATCGCATTTATCGTTTTTTAATTACCTTGTCCACACTCGCATCGAATTGGGGATCAGACAGATTCAGAAGAAGTGTGTTCGAGTTAAGAAACGCACGATTAGATGATTGTGAAATCTAAAAGAGGAAAGAATGCTTCACCCTACCCAGCACGTGTGGGCGACTTCCACTCTTAGATACGTACCGTTCTGGCGATATTCGCAGCGGCTTTTATTTTCCTGAGTTTAAGATAACCAGGATTAGCTTGTAACGCGTCACCAATAAGTTTAGCAGCTTGAGCTTCACCATCAGCCATCACAATTTTCTGTTGACGTTCTTGCTTGGCCCTTTCAACCAGAAATTGAGCTCTTTGGGCCTCCTGCTGGGCAATCTGAAAAAAAGCAAGCGATTACAGGGAAGGTCAATCAGAAACTACGAATACTTCACGAAACACTACCTGTTTCGCTTCAACAGCGGACGCATACACTTGTGAGAATGTAAGATCAGTAATTGAGACATCGTCAACAACAATATGAAAGTCACGAGCACGGTCGATAAGTTGCTTGCGTATAAGAAGCGACACTTGTTGTCGTTGTGTGATTAGTTGGCTTGCGTTAAACTTAGCCACAACTGCCTTCAGCACTTCATTGACAATTGACGGAAGAACACGTTCATCATAATCGGTTCCCAAAGTGCGGTAAACTTCCGGCAGACTTGAGACCTCAGGACGAGAAAGCACACGAACAGTAATGTTTATTGTTTGCAAATCTAAAAAAACGTGGAACATGCAATAGAAGTGCTGTTATTCTCTATTTAAATAGGACATCGCTTGAGCAATAAAATGAATATGAGCAAAGTAAGATCCATGACCATGAAGACCACAATGCACAGCAGCGAAATATAAAAGGTGCATTGAAAATGGCAGTAGGCACCAGGGTCTCTAACATAGCATATTATTAACAATGAAACGACTTAAATTGCGTCACGATTAGGCATATTAAGGGAAGTTAAATGATCATAAAACCGTAGACAACCAGGCTTGCGCAACCTGTTGGCATTATCCTGCATACCTTTACTTCCAGTTGGTGATGTTATTTTCCTTGGCTTTGAACGAATATCGTAAATAATGGGATATTGGAACCATGGAATTCTATAAACGTTACAGTACTAATAATAAATACCGAACATGAAGGCCCTCGGTATATATATCCGGTTTTACTCCACCGATGCGACTAAACATGATGGCGCGGTGACCACCGTCGACTAAAGGTTCACTATGGGAAAATTACCAAACCTGTATACAGTGATTGTTGGATTCCATATCCAAGAAGACCCAAACCGGCGACTACCAGACCACCACTGGTACCTAAAGGCGCTAAACGCCTTAGAGAATTCATGCTGCACGGCTGTCGAGTCTTGGGCTATCTAGACAATCCCAAAAAGCTTAAACAAAAAAGTGGAAGCAGCAATGGAAAAGAAAAGCCATTTACAGTCTTCTAAATACCGTTTAAAATTAATATTTAACATAAATATCAACTGTACACATATTTTTAAAAAAATTTTTGCAAATTAGTTTTGAAACTACATTATTGACTTCACAAAATGATGATTAAAACCATGACGACTGTCCCAAAGAATAAATACATTAAATAAGTTCTGGGGTATGTCACCGCAAACCACAATAAATTCACCCTAAAAGATAATTACTGCTGCGTATAAAATTAAATGTAATACATCTGCATATTCATTTGAAAAATTCAAAACTTCTACGATTCCCTCTATGTTGCAAAAATTGTTGACGTGTACGATATACAACTAGGATGTACAGACGACTGTAGTAATTTCGTGAGATTTGAATATCCATTCCTACAAGACGATGAATTGTTGAATAATTAACATGCTTACTGTTAAAAATAATTGTCCTAGAAAAAAATAAAAGTTAGTGACGCTATGACATAATTAACTGAATTTCTTAATAAACTTGTGAGACAATAATATTAACACACTTTTTTTTGTTTTTTACTTGATAATTCAATGTTCGATCCTGTTTTTATGATCCCTCAACTTCGCCTAATTAACCAAAGGGTTTATTTCCCTGTATTACATTTATTTTGAAGAATTTTATTTAAAAGTGTGCTGCAGAATCATACCATCTTACTATTTTTGCAGTCGTAATTTTAAATCACCTCTAAAAAATGGACGCACCAAAGCGAAACAATGTAGGTGCTTGTTTAATTGCTTTTTCTGACTTTGTTGCATTAGAGATAATTAGTACTTTTGAAATGGGCTCATTTTTTGCGTATGATACCAGTTTGAGGCATAAAAAAGCTATTTCCAATAATTTTAATTTAAAAATGACAGCAATTTTTAAGGAAATATGAAAAAAAGCACAGTTTTGACTGGATCCGTTACCTTCAAGGGAAACCGGCCCGGTGGTAAGATAAGGAGGATGACCAGTGCAATCAAGTGGAAACGCTACGTAATTTTGGGAGATAATTGCCCAACCGCAGTATTAATTCACGCATCAATAATAGAAATTGACAAATAGTTAAATTACAGGCCATGGGCAAGACTAAACGCCGATCAAAAAAATCAGTGGTTTTTAATGCCTAACAAGTTGCCGTTACCTAGAGCAATATTTAAAATAAATTTCCAGACGTGCTTTCGAAGCCAAAAATTTTTGATAAGGGTATTAGCGAGCATGTTTGTCTATCTTAACAACCAGTCAATAAAGGTGTAGAAACGAATAAATTTTTTATTCTTAGAGCCTAAAAGAAGGAGATGTCAGTGACCAAAGACGACAATAAAAGAATTTCACACAGATACGGAAGACGTGAGATGCGAAGTCATTGTACAAACAGCGAAGAAATGCGCAAGAAGAGATATCTGTCAAATGTGACAACTCGACCTTGAATGTTAATGAACAAAAGTTCTACCATATTGCTTTTTCATTTTATATACGAGCCCGACTCGCGCAGGGCTAGTGTAGCAGTTACTAGTTTTATTTTGTCAAACTCCTAGTTATTCCATTCTAATTTTGATGAAATACAAAATGCCAATGTGTGTTACGGTATTCTTCAAAAACGAAGTGAATAGTCTTCATTAAAATCACAAAACCAAATTTAGTAGTGTCAGAAGCAAGTTCTCAAAGGCTTCTTTGGAAAATGGGCAGATGTCTTAAGATGGAACCTTAACAATTGCTCCTCTGTGCACCTTCTCTCTTCTATTTACCAGACAAGACTAAAAAATTGCTTTAACGACGTATCACTGGCTTATAACAAACAAGCGTAAGTGTCAAATTGAAGGTGAAAATAATAAGGTTTTGGAGAAGGACAATAATGATCAAATTGAGATGTTCGACATTGAACCTATTTTTTGACCCGCTACAAATTCTATTTGATGATATTTAGACTGGTCGCTAAATCTTAGCTTTTACTAGGTTATTCTAGACTTGACCGTTGTCATAATTTTGATTTTAACTAGCGTCATTTATATTTAGTTAATTCGACAAGCATGGCCCTTTAATTTTAACGTAAATAATAATGACCATCAAGTCCGTGCTGTTTTTAATACCTATTCGTTTAGTTGTGACAAAGTTTTTTGTCATACTGATTAGCGGATCCTCGGTTGAATAAACAAGCACCGTAGCAAAGTTAAAGGTGCACAGAATGGTGTATTATAGAAAAGTAAAAATTTAATTTCGTGCAATTTTTATCTGAAATGTCAAATCTATGCCATTAAGCTTTTATGCACACAAATTCAAAACTGTTCGCATGCAGCAAAGCTCTATGTTTCCGCGTTGAGCCCTGTTAATTGTGCTTAATAATACATTAAATGTAATTTTAAATAAAAAAAATTCTGCCTATTTCTCAAGCCAGCGATGAGTCTCGTTATCCTTATAATAATGAGTTTTAAGCAACAGCATTCTCTTAAAAAAATTTATTAGTGACAAACGATAACCATTCACCATATTTCTGTTTAATTTCGGGCACTCTGCATTTTTAGTTTTAACTCACGGACACAAATGATTGGTGGAACAAATCGCATGATTCAGTATGTCGGCTGCTAATGTCACTACTTCGGAATTCCTGTTTTGATGTTCTCCTTTAACTTTTGCGGCTGTCGGTTCCTGAGTGTGCGCCCCGTTTCGATTAAATTCCCCTCTACATTCGTAAGAATTGGTGGGTTCCAACCTTTGTCTTTTTGAGTGGATGCACGTGGAAACATTCTAATGCCCATCTGTGTGCTATTGGCGTCTGTTCTGTTTCCAATGTATTTTTTCGTGCCTATGCTATTGTCCCTATGTTCATTGTTTAGTCATTACTTACTTATATGTGGGTAGTCTAGTAAACTTTAGGGAGCTATAAACCCTAAAACACTTGATCAGCTATTTGTACGGGATTACTTGGACCCTTACTGTTATTGTAAAGCATTTTACGATGATTGAAGGACTGACTCCAGCCATGCGCCCCCATTTTTCTAGAATCAACAACAGAAGACCTTAAAAAGCTAAATGGCTATTTGATTGCCTGCTTCTTTTTAGAAACAAAGCGTCCATTTTCCCTTGGGCTTTCTACTTTATCCCGACTGAAAGGAAGCCATGGACGCATATCCTTGCGTGACAAATCCTTCAATTACCAGACTAAAAGGTTGCCACAGTCCAAATCCACTACAAGGTCCGCTGTTGTACCTGTAAGTGGTGTGCGCAACTTCAGCCGGATATTTCTACGGTGTGGCCTCTTCACATTCTTTTCTATCAACACAGTTTTTGCTGGTACCATGATCTGGAGTTATGAAAATTGGAAATCTTACACCTCAAGATATCAAAAGGGAGAACTACGAAAACTGGTTTGTGTCAGTATCCTTTCAATTCCCTTTTTCCATAGTTGCGAAATTCATTTACTTCCATCGTTGGCAGACCTCCCAAGTCAACAGACATTTTTTGGGGTAAGCTTCGTGGCTCCGGCTAAAGATTAACAGATGACCACTTTTTTGCTTTTCTTTCTAGCCATCGCCTTTGTTAATTTGGTTGTCTTCCTTGGTAACAATAGCCGCCGCGTGGGGACCACATTCCTTCGATACTTTGCCAATTCTCCATTTGGACGTAAGTCGTCAACGTTTTTATTCACCACGTTTTGTCACAGTGTTATATAGTATTTAGTCCTTCGTTTATTTACCTTTAAAAACCCTATTGTATCTTCGAATACAGCTTGGCCTGCTACGTCAATGGTTCTCTCCATATTCTCTCATCAAATGTTCTTCCACATGTTTATAAACATGTACGTGCTTCACAATTTCACTCAGCCGCTTGTGCGTCTTCTTGGGATGGAACAGTTTTTTGCGGTGTTCCTCGGTGGGGGTATGTTGTTTAATTTCATCTCATTTGGTGCTCGAACGGCATCCTCACATTTTAGCATATTACACGCAATCATTTAGGTGATATATTTCGTGGGTTGGAGTCCGATAATAAACGAAGAAGCCCTTACGCCAAACTTGGTCATTTCTCAATACCCAGAAATTCTAAGAATAAAGCAGCACGTGAAATAATTTCTATCATAGAAGGACTTGGGGGTTGGTTGTATCAGTGTTGTAATGTGCAGATCCTAAGTAATGTGAATAGATATCAGTATGCGTATTTTGGCGATTACCATATTTTTTCCAAAATTTTGGGAATAGTATACAATATTTGTAACGTACAATTAGTAGTTGGATTACTTAGGAGGGAGATCGATTTCCCTGAACCGAGGCTTTGAGATTGCATTGAAAAACCACCTTAATAGAGTTAAATCTAATTTCGCTTCTGTTGATTATTCTTCAAGTTCATGTAGCAATTTCGATACAATTAAAATTGGGGCTATTCGGTGTTATCTGTAGAAGCGACACTCGGTGCTTGCAATTTCAGTGTTGTTAAAACGGCATTAAAAATCGAAACCAGTATTGGGGCACTCACACTTTAAAATTGCTTTGATGTTATAATTTAAATTATCATGCCATGCGCCGTTGAGGCTGCCATCGTGCAACCTAAATTTCAGGCGTTCAGTATGCTTATTGGTCATTTAAACTATGAAATATTTACACCGCGTCATCCTGAACATTTTAGGCCTGACAAGCTATATTGAGGTTTGGTTTTTACGTCTTTCTAAATTGGCCTCGTTTAGGTAGTGCATGCCTGTCAAAAATAAATTGGAACTACCTAAAAACCGCTTAGCGAATCCCGATATTGGTTTTGTTGATTAATAAGGCCTGTGGCAGACTCCGTCTCTAAATGAGTCTCAGACCCACACCGAGACCGACAATGTTTAGACCTCCAGTTATTCTGCGCAGCTACCCTAGAAGGTCAGAGGTGAAAGAGGCAGTCGTTTATTTGATGGTTTAACTGTTGTTGTGTCCTGTGTGCATACAAGGCCGTGTACACAGGTCGCGACATACATAGAGAGGCGAATTGGCTGTGTTTTGATATGAGATGTGTTGCGTAATCGGAGATTAATATTGTTTGATTACTATGAAGCACCTTAGGTAGTTCTTCTTGAGGGTTATTTTTTGCTCCAAATATATAAAAAAAGGAATTGAGGGCAAGGTAGTAGGGCACTTTAGTAGATGCACGCGTCGGTAACTGCGTAGCTTGTCATTGGCATGATCGACAGTTATCGTTTTGTTACAGCCTCTGGATTCCTCAGCTTTTACATTTAAAGAATGCAACGGAGAATATTCAACGTCATCAACGCGGCTCCTGAAGATAACCTTTATAATCACAATTAGCACCGTCCTTTGCTTCTGTAATTCTTATTGCATCCCAGGAATTTTTGCGTCCTTCTTGAGTGTCCTGGCCAAGGCAATTATGCGCTCGCCCATCCCTTCGATCGGCGCCAGTGGTGCGGTCTGCGCGGCACTCGGGACTTTTTGTATGCTTGAGCCACAGGCGCAGTTGTGCGTTCCCCTGCTGGTGAACATTATGCCGCACTCTTTCTCCGCCGGCTCCACATGCTGGGCCATTCTCGCCTTCGAAGCCTGTGGCGCCATTCTCCTCGTGCGCCGCTCGCCCATCGACCACGCCGCCCACCTCGGCGGACTTCTGTTTGGCATGTACGTCATCCATGCCTTTTTCTTCTATTGCACTGACCAAAACTACGCTACTGATTCGCCATTTGGGCCTGATCTTCATTTCATTCCGCATTACAGAGAATAATTTACCGCAACGCATCTCGTGAATATGTAGACCATCTTATTCCAGTAAACAGAAACATACATTTCGAAATTTACGTTAAATTGGGAATACTAGGTGCATTCTGGCAACTGGTTGGTCAAAATGTGTACAAATACGCTAAAATTCCTGCGGTGAATCGTAAAAATTTACGTCCATAGATACCTCAGCCTCCCTCCAATAATCCATGTTTCTGTTCAGCACCCCCCCACCTTCTCGGAGGCCCTAGTGATTATGCGGACACGTCTGGGCACGTGTAGATCTGCGACCTATAAGTGTGTCCACGGCCTTGTGCCCTCAAGCCACAACAACAGTTGAACGACTTAAAAACGGCTGCCCCTCGCACCTTCTCGGGTAACTGTATATAACCAGGCTTCTAAATATTGGCGGTTCTGGTGTGGACCTGAGACGCATTTGTTATGCTGGTGATCATCTTAGATTTTATGTCGGTTCTCTGTCAACACCTGTGGTAAACGTTTGGTTTACAAAATCGACTCATTCTAAGCCATAAATGATCCACGATGCCAAAAACCTAAATAGTCTTGTCAACCGCGTCTTTAGTACTGAATTTGTGATGCTATATCGTTTAGCTCTTCTGATTTCGCAGTCGCTGATATTTTAATATCATATTTTGATACACTAATGTCACTGTGAACGGGTAAGCTTACTTCTGAAGATGTTTTTACTACGGCGAAGTTATTTATAAGTAAGCAATCATTTCGTCTTTAGGTACTATGGAATGGAAGGTAAAGAAGTCGTATGGAAACATCGGAATACAATAATCGGCGTCTGGCAACGCTTCAAGGGTGAGAAAGGGAAATCAAATGAATAGCTTTTTCTGTTGTACTGTAATGTAAATAGGTATTGCTAATAAAGATCAGTGTTGTTGGTTTATTTCAATTACCCTGAACGTGCTAAACCGTGTTCAAGGACGCGGTCAAATGCGCAAGCTCACAATTATTAACCCAAAATTGATTTTACCATCATCGCCCGTAGTATCAGTTGTGTAGGTCAATGTCGACGCCCAACGGTTCAAAAATACGGTAATACGTAAGCGTTCTATTTGTGCAAAAAGTATGTACAACAGTCGAAGGGAATGTCAAATGTCCCGTTTGAGGCCTTGTAACAAGATTTGCAGTTGTGAGTCAAGTTCGGATATCTGATGTTCTATTGCCGTGAGCTAAAGGAAAATAAATACCGCACGAGGATTAAATGTGCAGGAAATGCCTGTGATTTCCTAGTATCTTGGTGTTAGTGCGAGTTGGAAGTTGCCAAGTATTAAGCTTAGCGGCAACAGCAAATAAAACGAGAACATCGGCGCACTGTAAATAATCTAACAAACTTAGGGATGTAATCATGCCTTTGAAGCTGATTTCTGAAGGGAAACCATTTCCGATGCAATGCGGGGTCTGGCGTTAGGGTTCTGAGGGTTGGTGAAAAAACAGTTTCCACCGACAACCTACGGGCATGGTATTGATGTAGTTGCTTAGTATGATAAAGCCTAGCAATGTTTGTGCATAGTCAATATGTTGGCATCATGAAACTGGACTGCACATTTGCCAGTGTAGCCCATAGTGGTGTGCATACAGCATTTTCATTTGAGGCTTGTTCCGAAATCAAGGAGCACATATTACCCTGGAAGTCTCCGAGCGTGAAAGATTGCAACCTTGGTCACCGTCCTTTCTTTTAGACTTCAAAGCGTCGGCCTTCTTGATTTGACTTGATAGCCGAGATCGAAGTATTTTTTCGGCTTCATCGAAGTTCACATCCTAAAAAACAGTTCGCTAGGTATGTATCACCCAGATCGGTTTCATGGGGCAGATTTGTTATATCCCCTAGGAGGTATTAATTAATTAGTACTTTATAATGGTGGTTCATGTCTTAGGCTTTGACTGAGTCATGCAGGAAAGGGCTTTCTAGACAATTATCAGTATATCAGCGGAAACGATTCCACCCGGTCTTGGCAACTGGCAGTTGTGCGCTACCTAGAACCGTGGGTTTATGCAGTCCCGCACCTGGGTGGACACTTCTTGGATGTCAAACTTGATCCAAAATACCTACTTTTGAATCAATGCACCCTACAGAATCACTTAGCGAGTGACCGAAGGACGTGTATTTGATTGCACCAGGAATACAACGGTAATGTGAATCGGAGTTATTTAAGCAAGAAATTCTTGACCAACTACCCCATTAATAACAAGGCTGTATCGGCATAACAGCTGATCATTACCTTTGACTGAAAAGTGAGCGAAATCCCAGCCCCGCAAGGAATACTGGTCAGTTGCATTGTCTCGGAGTCGATCTGCTGCAAGTTAGCGAGTGCTGAACAGAGCTCTCTGACGGCCTCTTGCTGTCTTGAGTCAGTCGGTAGACCCGATACTCCAATGTCCCCCTTGTAGGTTTTGCCCAAACCAAGCAATACACGCCAAGACTTGATGCGAGACACCGTATTAAGGGATTCCTTGACAAAATGTGACTCCGAAAAGTCTAGGTTGTCTTGCGCAATCGGTACCTACAATTTAATAAATTATATGGCTGGTTGGAGTTGTGAAAACCGGTTGTCCTTACTTGTCGGCGGTTAACTATTGAATGAAAAGACCCCGCATTTTGAAGACGTCGAGGTAAACACTAAGAAATCAGGCTCAGTGGAGACGACCAAAATGATAAGATCGGTTGTTAATATCTACATGCTTTTCCTAAGCAGGTTCATACATTTTTTTAAAAAACTTTAGTGCCAAATCAAATGTAATCAAAATAGGCAATAACTTGACAAGGTCCCCTGGGTCGTACATGCTAGAGACTTCCAAGTATCGATCAACGAAAGAATGAAGCATGCTGTGTTTTGCGTGCATGTGTTTACTCGACACACTAGAGCTTGCAATTTACAGTACTTCAGAGCATGAGCCAGAACTAGTGCAAATCAAGTATGAAAACAGTGAAGGTTGAGAGTTGAATGACGTGACTGGGTGAATGGCAACAGCTAAAGCAAATAAAATAGAAAGAAATTGAATATTTTGTCAGACACGGGTACCGAAGACAGTGGAAATTATTGAACTTGGCGAAGCACCTAACGTGATATTAAAAAAGAGGCAGTGCCTTAAAAATTCGTGACCAAAAGTTGATTGGATCTTTAAGCAATCGTCTCTGTACACTACGGTGATGGGGAGGAAAACAACAACAAGGACTTAGCATTTTTGGTTGTAGTCGCTTAAGTATGAAGCGAATTTCGGCGCGAGGCAAGGCGCCTACGACGGATCGCGCGACCCACCACTTCAACGGCCATCATGCGGTGAGTGGGAAGTGAGCATGCGAATGCAAGTACATGTCGTACTTCTCACGAAACCATCTCAAAAGGCTAATGTTCGCTTTAAAAGTATGTGAGCCAGCATCAACATAATCCGGAACTCATTCAGGGATATAAAATTTCAAAAACTAAACTAAATTGCAAGCGGTTATCCGTCAACTCAAACTCAAATGAATTTTGCCAAAGATGGATATACTGGGTGATGCCGTCAAAAAAATTGCAAGAGGCAATAACGGCAGTACCTTATCTAACCATGGACGCCGAATTCCAGCACCATTTCTGTATTCTTATCGATGTTAAGAATCAGTGATTAGTAGGACCTCAAACCAGTCCAAAGCCAAATGGTTATTAGGAAAAGTATCCGCAGTCATTCAAATCACCGCTCCGCGAACGAACAATAGCCATTACTAGAATTTGTTACGAAATTATCCCGACATTTGCAACTCGACTCATCAGCGAGTCGAAGTTCGGCGCGCGGTTATGTACAAGGTTTTGAAAAATTGTGGACTAAGAATAGAATCGATCTTCTACTTATGCACGACATGATAAATCTGTGGTGTGACAAGAGATCTTGCACCTTTCTAAGTCACTGGGATCAGTTAATTTTCGACAAGGCTACAGCATAAACCCACTGGGTAGTGTGTAAGATTACAGCGCTTGCAATTTAGTTTTTTATACAAAAATACAAAGATTGATAAAAAAATTCATGAGGGTTACCGGTCATGGTTTTGGCAACAGAAGAAATAAGAGCAAAATAGAACTATCAATAATAAATAATTTGTGGCAAAAAATTTTGGTTGTGTCCAGATAAACGCAGTCTTGACCAATAAAATCTCTAGGTGAAAGGGGTGAGGAGTGGTTGCAAGCAACGCAATGGACCTTACCTGAGGAAACGCTTCAAGAAGAATGGACCTCTCTGTCCTGAGGAGCGACTGCCAGAGGGTCTCGGAGAGATGCGGCATAAGAGGGTGAAGTAGACGAAGACCACACAAACAACACGCAACAAAGACATCTAGGTCTTGACTGCTGCAATCTGAAGTAAGGAACAAGGCCTACAGTTGTGCTCGTGACTTCTACACGTGTGTCCATCTGACCACGTTAGTAACCGCAGTAAATAGCATAACAGACGATGTGAACGATAGTACAGGTCAGGTTACTTCGCGCTAGAGCATGCAATCGATACGTTCGAAGCAATTCGCTTTGTTGCCACCAAGTCAAATAATTGTGTTCCATTGGAGAGACTACGCACGCTTCAAATAAGTCAGCGGCAATTCAATAGTAAGTGCATCAGAATTTTATAGAAGTTATCAAAATCTACAGAAATCGTGGAATTATAGTTGCAATCAGTTTACACGCATGAGACATGCAAGAAAACGTAGACATCCACCATTTTAGAGTACCCCGGTGTCAGTGAGTGAATTCTAGTAGCTACTGAACCGAAATTTTACTATGAGGTCCCGTGAGCAAGAACTGCTACTCTATTCTTTCACACTGTGGATTAGGATCTCGGTAATTTGCCCGGCTGATTATCATCAATGGAGCAAAATGCTAATTTCACACCAAATTCCTGTTCTAATAAATGAACATAAACAAGGTTTGATAAGGCTTTTTATAAACTCACATTTCAAAAGTGATGGTTTTGGCTTATAGAAATTGCTGGTTCTGCCAACCAGAGGCCCTGACTACCGTATTGTGGTGGACAGACAGTCACGTCGCGTGAGTGATACGTGTATTATGGCTCGACTGTACCAACGACACCCTTTGTGTTATTGGCTCTTGTTAGGAGTCGCCTGTTACGCATGCTTGCTCATACGCACACAAAGCCACTTGGCTGGTGTGACAGCAATAAACGGTCGTGTTCTCTGTCGCCTCTTTTCCCCTTACTCTCGGGATGTAACGGGCTGTTAACTAGAGGGTTGTAAGGTAGTGTTAACCAAGCCATTGCAGTATTTACTAACTTGCGGGTCACAGCTTTCGATTATCCGAAGATAAACATGAGATTTAAGACATCATGTTTAATGGCTCGGCTTATGGGTATCAACGTCCCACTAGTCCGACGTAAAGACAAGGGAAATCAAGTAAAACAGGTTGCCTAAATTGCGACTGTTTATAACCCCCTTGATGCTGTGCATTTTATTCTTGATCTAAACAGGGCTTAGCTGACGAAGGTTTTTTTTGAAAGAAGGCCAGATTGCCCAAATCTCAAAAGTATGGATAATTATCAAACTAAAAGGTCTAGTAACAGACTTAAGAGGAGTGTACTCACTTTTCCTTAATCGTTGTTTGACCACTTCAAGATAGACCGAGCACAGCTCTTCGGTCCACCAATATCGAAAATCAATGATACAATTGTGCAAACCCTCCCCACTGGAGTCCCCCGAGCAAAGGCTCTCGTAGGACGCGTTAAACTGACGCGCCAATTGAGCTGCGTGAAGAAGAATCCAGTCATCCAAGATCGATACACCGGCCGTCTGAAATAGAAGCAGACATCACAGTTCACGGTGAGAAAGTATTTGATTCATCGAATCAGACATTAGAATAAAGTGTTACGTTGGTTCCGCTGGTTTAACGCCACGTCGGCAACCAACGGCCCAGAATCTTTAGAAGCCTGATCAATTTATAATTTAATGTGAATTGACCTTTTGTTGCAGGAGCCTGACCCACATATCCTCAATGGAATGCCTTTTCAAATCCACCGAAACACCAGTTCGCGTCATCTCTGAGGTAAGAAAGCGCATCGTTTGCCAAATCTGAAAAAAACAGCTATGGTCAATGCTAAGCAGAACTGTTAGCTCCACGTAATCAACATTGTACTACAGTCCACATGACACTGCTCACACATCTAACACAAAATATAACAAGGAAAAGGGTGCAGTCTGGCTAGTTAGTAAAGCCACATGGTTCTCTTATCCCTTGCTGTCATTTGCGACCAATTTCAAAGCAGCCACGAAACAAGCAGCTCACGAGGGTAAGGGAAATGTTTACTTGCTTGAAAAGCTGTGCTAAAAGCTATGGTCGCGTCTACTAATATCCTTTCCTTCTCAGCATTTTGCTGTAGAATGTACTCATTCTAATGATTTTTTATGCTGAAGAAGGTAACTATCAAATTTCGGAATGACTGATCGATTATTAACTTCCACGGAGTATGGTCAGAAATGCGGTAATCACTTGTTGAAGATGAACTGTTCGTGAGGCCCAGAATTTCGTGAGAAAGGAGGCCATAACAGGAGGACATTTCAGTTTCCAAACTTGCGGTACAGTGGAGATTTCAAGACAATTTGTCTTTTTTGAGTCCAGCATAAAATCAGTCATGACGACCGTAAATTGCAGACTATCAATAACAAGTGCGTATTTTAGTGAGGCTTTCCAGCTAGAAGCAAATGCATATAGAAATAATGAGAGAATTCAATACAAAAACTGAGATTCAACAAGAACTAAGTAAATTAGTAACTATTAACGGCAGACTGGAGTTGCTAGGTTGCCGGCTTGTATGATTAGGGAGTAGATTACCCCGTTTTGTTTTATAGCATATAAAGAACAGTGATAGTAAAGCCACAACACACGTATTCCAGAGGGAGACGCAAGAGTGCCCTTAATTTAGTTTAATTGAATCGCTTTCGCTGCGGTAACACGAAAATCGGCGCAATTGGTGCCTACAAAACCGATGCAGATATCCACCTTACGCCCACGTCTTGGCAATGAGTAACCCGTTAACTAAACACATGGTCATTCAAAGCGCGTGTATGAAGCCCAGGACAAGTGAAGACGACGAATCATTCGTGAAACCGAAAATATCCACCAGACTTCCACTGCCTGTAAGATATTACATACATTTCACCACAATACAACCACCAAAAAGGGGAAAAACTTGTTTGCCGATGGTTTCGATATGTTAGAGTTGAGGTAGTGAAATGCTAAAATGCCAGCAAATACCGAGTGTACAGCAGGTTTTGTGAAGTGACACGCCCAATCAACACTGCGCCTGTTTGTGTCACTAATATTATTTGTGCAAATCCGGCAGAAACATTTATTTAGACCACTTCGACACCGATAAAGGACTCAAGCGTAGGTACTTGTGTGTCGCGAACGAATATTTGCCATTTGACCAGGCGAGAACATTAAGTTAGACGTGGACAAATATTACGACACTACAAAGCATCTGCCGTGGGCACACAATAAAATGGGAAAATGACTGCTTAAGGACTAATCACCTTATTGGCAAATCGTCGGTAGTCGAGGGCGTTTTCTTCTGCATAGGCGATGGCCGGACGACTGAAATCAGTGGCCAACAGGGAAGCCCGTAGTGCGTCCGCGCCAAGTGAGACGACTCCACCATCGTGCCCAAGTTGGTGCTGATGGTTGTAGGACACAAAAGAGTTAGAAGTTGTGCATTTTTGGAGAAAAAATTACGAAATGCTCCCATCGACTGAATACCCAAAAACAAGATTACCTTCTGCTGAAATGAAGTTGTTTACGCCGACGGAAAAATTTGTTCGCACAATTTGAGCATTTTGTCCCTAGATTAGTTTTCTTTTGTTGCGGTGTCAAAAATAAAAGCAAATCATTGAGAAAAAAATGTCGAAGTTTGTGATTTTTCACGGTTGCCCCACACGAAGTTAGTGAGTCTATGTATTTGGCGAGTGTCAGGGCTTGATTGCTACCACCTATTTCGTGATTGCCCAAAGACCAATCACTTTAACTAGGCGTGCGGCGCTAGAAGAGGCTCTCACCGATTGACAAAAAAGCATCCTCAAACAATTCAAAAGCATAGAAAATTAAACGTGAAAAAAATTGCCCTGACACTAGAATCAACACCAGCATTAAAAAAAAACACAAAATACTCCTCTTCCAGTACAACTTTTGCCGCCAGTAATATTTCCAGTCTCAATACCTACGCTAAGAGAAACGAAGTAAAAATACATTTTCGATCCATGTCAGCTAAAATACACAGTTTGGCTCCACAGGTTGACACCGACACAAAAATATTATGAATTCACTAGAGGCATGGGGTTTCAAAAAGATCGACTGCTGTCGCAATGAAGCCACACTGTAATTGTAGAGATCTCACAGTTACAGCTGCAGAATTAATTAAAAGGCAGTTAACTACGATTTCGCGCTTTTGAAGACACTTGGCAAGGCCTCGTCGAACCTGATGAAACACCCCAGTTCTAACCCAGAAGACCCCAAATTTACTTTCAGCGTCCTAATCTAATCTAAGTAACCGCTTGCAAATGTGTCATCGGCACATCAGTGATCACAATGTGGTCTTGAACGCTTAAAAAATAAGGCGATTCCCATGCCATCAAGATGAGAAAAAAATATTCGAAGGTTATCAGCTCAATGGGATTCTAAAGAAGGCAGATGTCAATACCTGTGTAATCCAACCATACTAGCGACGACAGTTTTTAAGGTGATAACCGGCTTTAACGTGGATAGAAGTGATTGTCCTTGTGTTAAGCATCGCTTTTTACACGTGAATTGCTTGTCACAATTCAGGGGTACAGAGCCGCTTGGATACAGTAAAGACAGTAATTACGAAAAGCAGATTAACGTCAGATCGACGCTTGTTTGTAAAAAGAACACTAAATCTCAACTTAGAACTCAAGCCAATTGACAGGTGACGTTAAGTAACGCTACAGACCAAGTTAATGGAGTAGGCCACAGCAACATAAGTTCGAGAATTTTCAACAATTTACGGCCGATAAGCTGAGCTCAGACTAAAATGGTTTCGTCAGAGGCGATTCGAGAAAAAAAATGAGCCACAAAAAGGAAACTGTACATGTAGGAAAAAACACAATTTCGTCAAACAGGGTGATATTTGCAGAGGATTCAAAACGATTGTATGGCGGATTAAGCCGACAGTAGAACACAAAATTATCGTGAAGATATTCAGTACAGCTAAATTGTCTACAACTAATTTCTTGAAGTCCAATAGAGAGTAATAACGTAGAATGGTGATGTTACACGACTTTTACCGAGGGGAAGTTTGGAATCAGACTTTGGCAGCTGTTACACTCACCTTAAAAACCCGGAAAGTAGGCACGTACAAGACTAAATCCTAATTTCATTCAGTTAAGCGTAATCAAAGACCCAGTTAAGTGGGCCTTGAAAATTAAGAATGAGCTTTGTTTGTGGTCAGCTTTGTGTATCCGAGAGTTCTTTTGTATGCAAAAACATCAGAGGTACGTTGAAATACACGGATGTATCACGGGGTACGAATGAACCTCCTGTCCTTTCGGGGTGTCTTGGTGGCATTCTCAGTGAAATTTGGAGCGGAGCGAACAAAATATTGTGACAATATTTTACTTCTAGAGGAAGGAGACGCTCGTTAACCTGAAGGGAGTGCTGCTAAAACTAACAGCACTGGGGCCGCATGACTCAGAAAAACATGGCAGGATCAAATGAACAAATAAAAATTTAACCTTGCATAATAGACCTACTGACTTCAAGTTGCCGACACCATCAATCAATTTGAGGGGATCGATTGTGTTGCCTTTGCTCTTCGACATCTTACGTCCATTAGCATCGCAAATAAGACCATGAAGGAAGACCTGGGGTATGAGCAAAGTCGGATAGAATGCTACACATAAATTCAAAAATAATCCAGACAATAAAACCACTGTCTCAGGTCTTCTGCCAGTATGGAACTCCAAAGACCATCAGACAAGCTCGTTCACCCCCATAAGTGAATGAATTTCACTGTTTTTACCCGTCCTACAGAAGTGTGAAGACGTCGTCAGACAAGTGGGTGACATTTGCTATGAGTTGGTCAAACAGTCGACTTGGGTCTACTACCACCGAGGAGCGGCTTCGGTGGGCGTTCGCTACTGGTGAACTGCACAACCTACCACGCCTAGTTCTTAATGATAATTAAAATACAAGTAAATTATTTACCAGGCATAGGGTTTAACCGAATTTATCACAAAATTTGGTGCTGCTGGACGCACTATGGGTAGCAGAAGCGACTTGAAAATAAGCAATACAATGGCTGTACGAACATGCTTAAAGGGCACACGGCCTGTAAGGTGAACTCCGAGCATGACCATCCTCGCAACCCAGAAGAACAGGATGTCTTGGCCGGTCTCCATCAAATCCAAGGGGTAGCTGCGGGTCAATTCAGGGTCCTAATTAAAAGGAAGACAAAGGGCCGAGGATTAATACTAGGGTGATACGATTTTGGTTTGGGTATAATATTGATGGAACGACTTGGATGCTCCAGCGACGCAACCTCGGTTTTCATAGTACAACGGTCACAAATGAGCAAGATATTCTACTAGGTATTCTAAACATAATGTCCAGTAGGTTGTCCTCAAGCTGTTTAGCGCATAAAACGATTTTAAGTGGCGCACGACAGTAAATTTGTCGATGCGACCCACCAGTGACGTGCGAAAACAGGCAACAATAAATAGGGATGCTCAAAGAAGAGACATGGCGTGTTAACAGAAGCACGTGGTTTGTGGTCACTTAGTGGTGGTGGGAAGTGGATTGGAGGAACGCGAGCGCAGTGAAGTTCAGTGCGCTGACGCCAAACCACTGCCACAGATTTTGTTAGGAGGTGCTGAAGCGAACACAGCGCGCCAAGCAACAACGCACTTCCTGTGGCCAGCCGAAGGTTGTGAAGGGAAGCAAAGCAGAACTGAACCAAGTGTCTAAGACGTCCGTGTCTAAAATGGGAAATGTTGATAGCCCAATGAGGAAGTTTACAGCGAAGGGTCGAAAACCGAACCTCATTGAACTGGGGTAGTAGGGGACTAATTTAAAGAAGCGCAAAGAACGTCGGATAACGAATCAACCACAAAACCGACGGTTTAAAAGACTTGACATAATGCTTTATCACCCTCTACTGAGCGCGCCGCAGGAGTAATAAGGCTACTCAATGTGCTAGGACACCACGGTACAATGCACACAGGCACTTTTGATAATTGACGTTACGATGCAACAAGGAACTAATCCCAGATACTGGGTTAAGCGTAGTGTAGTTGGCGACACTAGGGCACAGTCACATCAGAATCATGTAACGAAGGTGACCTGTGCAACGAGATTGCACATTAGTCAACAAAATTCAAAAAAAGGTGAGTTCAAATTAAGCACTGTTTCGGTTTACATATGCTTACTGAAAAATTTTTGCAGTTCGATAAAGGTGACCGCTTTTCGGAGAGTGAAAATAAAATTGGTCGCTGCCTACCTCGTTCCAGGTTCAAAGGTACTTCAGTGACGTTGCAATTGCACCGACCGGCGATCAACCTACGGGCTTCCTCGAGGTCCCGAGCAACCACCCACTCAGATGTGGTTGAAATTAAATTCGTCAACTGAAACGAAATGTTTTACAGAGGAAGATCACTTTTACAACAAGCTTGAGATCTATCATAATTAAATTTAAAACAAAACGGGCTGTAAATGTATATACAGATGGAAACCAAGAGAATATGAGACCCCACTGAAACATATAGCTAATTATTCTTGCATTCAATATATGCATTGAGTTGGGTCTAATCTTAGAGGAATGATATAGATGTTGAGATTTTAACTCAATTCGTTTTAAAGACAAGTGGAAAGATCGAAATTTTACAGTGATTACTCCATAACTTTTTACAGATCAGGAAGATTAGGGTTTCTTACGTGAGCAGCTTTCGTCGAAGGAATTGAAGGACAACGATCTTTTAACTCCAGAGGTATCCGGTAGGCGGGCATTCGGTGACCCCACCAGACTTGACGACTGATACACCAGTCACGGTGTCGTTCAGGCGCCAGCCAATCGTGCCAAGTGGCCTCGTGAAAGCGCGGTGATATACGCAACACGCCAGCATCAACCGCCTAAAATGCGTCAAGTCTTCTGGGGGAGTTGAACGACCACGCCCCAACCGAGGCATCCGCAGCTTAAAACACGTTAGCTCAAATCTGATATGTGAAAAGGGGAGCTTCTTGTGCAAATACCTGTGGCAAACGGCTTTTCAAATCTAAGAGTGCCTTCTGTTGAAATCAACGACCACTTTGCGTCAACATGATCGTAGAATTTATTCAAAAGTGGGATTTCCGTCAAAAAGATTTTCACCGTAAGAATTTCGTTAAATTATCGACTAGTACTCGTGAGACCACAACGTTAACTACTTACAGGATCCCATGCCTCTTCATAAAGTTATTGTTAAGAAGCTGTAGGAAACCACAAACAATGTGTATGGAACCCAAATTTAGGACCCGGTAAGATTGAAACCTTTTCAACAAACGAAGTTGAACAATTGCCTGATGACTTTCAAGGGATCACAACCTGTGTGTTACGATTGAGAGCAACGCCCATGTTCAGTGAAAGTGAGTTTTAAAACCAAGTTGGCAGCAATGTGTTAACACTTAAGCGAAAAAATTCATTACTTGGGCTAACCAATGAGAAAGGCTTATATCGTGGGTCTGCCAAGAATATGGACCCGGGAACATAGGATCTAACTCAGGTTCGACGACCGAAAATGCTATTTTAACTGCAGTAGTGCTCAAGCTCGAAAAAAAAACTCAAAGCATTATGAAATGTTAGCAGCTGATAGGTGTTCACTAAACGACCATTTACCTCAGAGGCCGCGGCGGCCATAGTCCTCGTGTCAATGAACCATTGTTCACGCAGAAGGGGTTCGATGATGTCACCCGATCGAGAGCAAATCGGAAGACTTATGGGCGCTACCGTGGCCAGAAATTCTGTGGCCTCACCAACACTAAAGCGTCCTCGGTAGAGGCCTTTTTCGGTTAATCGCTCAACAAGTTCCTGTCGCGCTACGAACCGGGGAAGGCCTGAGAATTCTCCACAATCTTTCAGGCTTCCGTCATTTGCGAGTACGTTAATTACCTTGAGCTTCATACCACCCTCAGCTATCTCGAAATCAACAGCACTGTGTCCGGGACTCACTTTGACTACGCCTAAATGCGGACAACAGTGAAAACACAACATGAAATTTGTTTTTACCTAACACGAGGCAATTAAAAATTGATTACATCCGGTCTACTGTTGTGAATCTTCATCCCATGCCCCTAGTCGAAGCATTTTTATGCAATGGTGAATCCAGATTGTGTGTGCTGCCCAAGATCTTTATTTGAAATTTGCAAAGGCAAGCTCTTTCCTGCATACAATTATAGTGGTGTTCGAGGGTCATAGTCAGAGATTACCAGCCTCAACACTACATTACAGAGTGCCACATTTCATTCACCTATGGCAGAATGCAAAGTCCATGAATTGGTTTGCGATATCCATAAGTCATGAGGCTAATTGACTTACTATAGTTGGACCCATTTTCGTTTAATCAAAGAACACGGAAAAAGGTTGCGTACTCCTTACCTGTGCCCTCATTCGGATCGACATGCTTGGAATCTGCGATAATTGGAATCACACGGTTCTTAAAGAAGGGATGTTCGACAAATTTTCCTATCAGACGAGAGAATCGGACATCGTCGGGATGAACAGCTAGTGCGGTGTCGCCGAGCATGGTCTCAAGGCGTGTCGTAGCAACCGGGACACGTCCTGATCTAAAAGGACACGCAGGAAACCCACATGAAAAGCAGTATAATCCACTTGGGAGTTAATAACCATCGTCATCCAAGTAGCAGCCCCCAACAACCTTTCTTTAAGACTTACTAGCATTGCAATACGGATATTGACTGACAAGGTAGCTCCCGGCATAACCCAACATAGGACAAGGAAACGAGAGTGAAGGTGATCATATGCTCTCTTTTTATCAACAAGACCACTAAGGTCGCATGAGGTGACGCGTTGTACGCAAAATCAGGGGCCCGGGGTGAATAACAGTAGCAGAATTATAACCGCTGAGAGTTTTCGACAGTGTTTTGATGGGTCACGTTAGACAAATATTAGCGGAGTTACTTCAAGGAGGACTAACAGCGAATATGCATTTTAAGCATGGCAGCGTTTTAAACTGTTCTATTGTAGCAGATATAACACCTTAATACGGGCTGAATTTCGGTGCATCAACATATTTCCATGTGTCACTTTGAGACCGTAACTCCGTAATTTAGGTATCATTAGAGATAAAAATTAGGACCTTAATCACTGAATCAACTTATGCTATCAGGAAACCTGAACGAAAGGTGCACAGACTACCGCAGAATCTGATTGAACTAGCAGACTGAGGTTTTGTGGTGCATGATGAAGATATCGAGTGAAGAGGACTGCCAGCTAGTACGAAGAAAAATTGTGTAATTAGCGCGACTAATCGAACCATCTTCTCTTTCTTGCAATAGAAAATCACTCGTATATGCAATAAACGTGATGTCAAAGTTTGCAGTGTGTACAAATTTTAGGACAAGGCTGGGAATGCAACACAAATCATTATGCAAAGAACGTTGATGCCTTCTTTGTGAGTTAACAAGTGGAAGCTAGAAAGGTGGATGTAAATCAAGCTGTTTAATATTATTAAAATCCAAACACTTTATTCACAAAAGCCAACATCCAACTGTACAGGCCAGAGTATGAAAGCCTATTCACCTCCTTGTGCAATAACATCTGCATCTAATATCCGAAATCACATCCCTCTCGTGGAAATCGAGGTCACCCTTCGAATGGGGCGTGCTGATCAAATCAAGATCTAAAGTGCTGTTAATGCGTGTGGCGGTGCTTTTGATTAAACGCATTCGTCACAGATCCATTCCGAACAGAGGACGAAGGGAAAGGCTGGAATTGTGCACATTACAACTCCGGATTACGCAGCGCGTCATATAAAAGTGCCTCAACAAGACCATTATATATTTCTATTGATGCATAAAAGAAGTTTACCCATCCGCCAGTTTGTAGTCAAACACGTCGACATATCCGAACGGTTGCTTCGTTGCATATCCAGGAACAGACAGCATGGTGCGCTCCGTAATTTGTTTGTGATCGACCTTAAGCATGAAAAACACTAATTAAAGGAAGCGGAATGCCAGAGCGGCAGAGTATTTGGGAATGGCTAGTGACTTATAAAGTTATAGCTTTCACCAGGCAATCTTAGCCGAGTAATTTGTTTACAGAAAAAGCCTATAGAAGGAATGAACGACATGGTCTAGTAATTCTCGCAGTTTTTTGACATAAGGGATGGCTTTAAATATACCGATTCGATATCAAATAAACAATTGATTGCGATAAACACCAGACTCCCATTTAATAGTAAGATTTCACCAAAAACCTGATGGTGCAGTGATTCATGCAGAACTTGAGAAAAAAGTAGGGACCTTTAAACTTTTTGAAGAAAAATGAATGAAGATCATGCGTGGATGTTTTAAGGACAATAATCTGCAAGATTTCAACCAGTAAAGCTATGGAGAGGGAAGAAAACTGCGCAACAAATGCAAACGGATGATCCGGTGGGCCGATGTGCGTCAAACAAGTTAGACAGCTGAAGTTCCGCAAACAAAGGGCTTTCAAACTAACCTCGATATCCGAAATGGCTGACTGAAGATAACTACACCACGAAATGAGGTTTTGAGCACGATACACCAGACCGGCTTCACTGAGGCGAAAAAGAGCCTCATTCACGGATTTACTATGTTGCTGTAAAACAAACCGATGACGGAATAAAATTAAACGTTTACAGGACTAAGGGTAAAATATTCGGCACTCCAGTCCAATGTGAGGCCTAAGCGGTTCAACTGGTCCAATATTGCGGTCCTCTTCCTAAAAGGAAAAAGAATGAGAACAGTGTAGATAGGTTGCACTTCAGGAATCTAATGGCGAGAAATGTTGTTCGAGAAGTGTTTCTCCACAATAAGAGGCCTGTAGAAATCACAACGAAACTTGATAGCAAACTTGGCAGGGAATACTTGGGAGTGATAATGAGAATCCAGAAGCCCTCATGGCGGGGATAAAGATAGGCAATGTACGGGGAGCTTCCACTTTTCGGCTGCTATCTCGAAAACGCTCAAATTTACTACTGCTGACTGGATTTTTACCTAGTGAACCCACCCGGAAGAACAGATATCGTGCAAAACAAACATCTATTGATATTAAAAGCCCCATTACAAAATGAGGAAAATAGAGATCGAAAGTAGTTACTTAGTTCCGACTGGAATTATTAGTCGAAAAACGCAATTGTTTGTGAGACACCATAAGTGATTCGTTAATTGTTAAACATTAGATTGTCAAATGTCTTAGAGGAGTAAGCACTGGCTTCACTTGATACCAAGTGACTTCCAAAGAAACTTCAGACATCCAAATTAAACAATATTACAGGGCTGTTGGGCGAGAAGCCAGCAGTCCGACACCAAAATTCTCTTTAACACCAAAGAAAAAACCTTATTCGTGGAGGCATAATTGTACATAACACCAGCGTTAGTAAATGCAAACAAGGCTGACTGCATTTACGTCAGGATTTGTGTTGGCTTAAGTATTGGAATGCGTGGATTATTTTTGACGGTCTTTGGCAAACAGGACGCTACACCCGCACCAAGAATAAGCAGAAGTGAAAGAATAGGAAGAGGCCTTTTAACTCACAACTCCATCCACCCCCACATCTCCTTAAGGAAGGCTTCGCGGCCAAGAGTAAGACGAGGGTTGGATAGAGGCGCCTTTTCTTTCCTTGCCAGATTTCTTTCAACGACCATTTCTGCGGCTAGACCGGCGTGGTCAAGTCCCGGTACCCAGGCAACGTCACACCCCCGCATGCACTGCCTGAAAAAAACAGGACAGGCTAGACAACATCGAATAAATTAAAAACTGCCATAAGTTTTATTTGAGCACTCTAGCAAGTGGATCAAGATCGCAATAACTAGCAGAAGGTCGACACAGGATCTCGATGTTTTAGACTACCGTGAGAACTATGGAGTCATTGACTAGATTAGCTCTTTCTTTAAGATTATAATAGACACAGGCTTTAAGAGCTCTTTTTTTAATCCTTGTGGGGATTAATGAAACCTTTAACATGCGTTGTGATTCTGTTCGATTGCCTCGCAAAACATTCGTGCCAGTAAGGTTGCACAACCAAATTAACTTAGGAAGAATCTGCCTAATTCCCCATTTTCCGTCGACTATCATGCCTCCCAAACAGTGATTCGTCCTGGAATTAAACCAAAACATATAATTATCAGTTCTATTAGGAAAATTTTGATAGTAATGCTTTAATTCGTATGTCGACTGTCATCTCTGAGACTTGCAAACAAATTATTTTTTACCAACTTTGGCTAAACACAAGGCTACCATGGTTTCTTCAGACGCTACCAGTCACGTGATGCTACTCAATTATCTCACTCCGGCTACTTCATTTGAAGTCGGACTGTAGCTAGCGGTCTTCCCCATCGATTAAAAGTGGATACTGTCTCCGGTAGACTAGTTGTAGCGCATAAATTCAGCCTATACTCCAGATGTGTCTTGTGGCTTCTCGATTTCAGTGATTGTAGAACCTAAAGTACTTAAAGATGGCATAATAACCTCGACCACCCTCCTACACTTGCTTGGCGCTACAACAGGTTCTCGTTAGCCTGTTATTGCAAAGGAGCTTTTCAAGGATCGGTAAGTGCACAGGCGATTTTTTTTGCAGTGAATCGGTTGCAGCAAACTAAGTAACATTGCATGCGACAAATTTATTTCTCATCACTTTCCACGGTCACCTTGACAGCCTGTTGTGCGCAGCGGCGATATTTCTCTAACGGGATCTGAATAAATGGTCGATTTTGTACATTTTTAACAAGGCATGAGACGGTATAAAACCGAAAAAAGACAGGGTGTCAAAGGAGACACGACTTTCTATTCACCTACAAGATTTGATTGTGTGCCAGCATGTTCGCAGGTTCAAAGGGAATGACGTTAGGAACTGTCAGGGGGACCATTGGCCTTGCTTCGAGGAGTCTCGAGCATGATGGAGAGGAAGTTGACCTAAGTATCAGACTCAAAGGACTTCTGGGCAAATCGATGGTAAAGTTTGAAGCGTGGCTCACATACCAGTAACCATACGCGCTTGACAAGCAAGAGCGGAGCAGCAATCAGGGTTTGCGAGCGGCCCATGTTCGTGTCCTGCCACTGTCCCAGTTTTCCATTTTCGCATTAAAGTTAACCAGTTTTTCACAGAAACCACGACCTATCTGACGAAAACTTGTCGGCCTGGTACTTAAGGCAGCTTCCCAGTCAAAATGCCTGAGAAGAGGTTGATCGTCCCCAAGTGAATTGGCGGTGGACAAGACGGATCGGTCACATGATTATTAAATATTCTTAATCATATTTAATACTTCATGGGAAGCCAAAAATCCTTCAAAAACATGATTTAAACCAGAATTCTAACTTAAACTTACCAACGACAAATGGCATCTTGAATGGAGGCAGTTAAAGCATGACCGAGATGAAGATCGCCAGTGATATTTGGAGGAGGAAGGATCATGCTAAATGTTCTCTACAAAATAAGAGGTTAAATGCACTAACATAATCCGAGTACTTACGCTGGGCCTTGCACTTTTCCTTTCCTCCAATGCTTTCCGCCAAAGAATCCGACACAATTCCGAATTTTCAACAATTTGTGGTTGATAGGTCTTCTGGATTTCTGAAAGTTGATCGAAAGAGAACAAATGGACAGAAGAACCTCAGATACAAGTCTTCAACTTATGCAAAGAATCAGAGCAAATTTAGGTAGACGACGTCGAGCCTTCACGGAGCATCGCTGTGTCGATGCTACTAATCTCTCGTTCTGGATAAAGGAAAATCCAAGACTAGACTAACACCGATGTTTGAGAGGATATAAATGGATGAATACTGGTTGCAATGACATGCTTCTGCAGAAAATATGGTTAATTCGTTTAGGTTTTTTGTATCAACGATGTTACCTTTTTAAAATTAGCTCTAATCATTCGTAAAGAAGCACAAAAAGACAAGACTCACGGCTGCTCGTCGGCAATCATACGCCTGTCCATAAATTTTTCCAGCCACACCTTTCACTTACACGCATACACACGCACACACGTCGCAGCCAAGAATGGTGACGAAACTAAAGGGAGCGATCCATTCAAGCACTAGCGTCTAGAATTTTCGACATTCCTCAAAGTAACTTTTAGTTTTATATAGAGATTATCTCATTTTCCAAACTGTCCATGAAAAAGAAAACCGGACCCATATGCATGTCCTGAAGACAACCCCTGATATCATGAATAACTTCATTTCTACTCGACTACGCATTCTACCTGACCTACAAATATGGCTTTAGGGCGAATCGACGTGTAAGGGAGACGTGAACCAACAGCCAACCGATAAGACCACAATGAAAAAACTCGGATAATTAGTCAGGAAGGTAAACAGATTTCACATGCGCCCCCAGATCCATTCAATAAATAAATATAGGGATTCAAACATAGGAACATGGTACAAAAAAGACGAACAATCATCTTAACTAGTTTAACTACATTGTGCAAAGTGCATACACGTCCAGTCTAAATGTTTTGGCAAGACAATCTACGCTTTACCCAAATGGTAACCGGGAAGGGAAAATAGTACTGTGACAAGTAGATTCTTCAAGTAAGTGTCGACTCTACCGTGGATCTTTTTACAGGTTAAGAACAGTTAGGTGCACTGAAGTGTGAAATTACCAAATGACTATCGTTTTTTACGAATTGATGAATGAAATAAGGAATCTTACTGAGGTCACTAACGGTTTGAAGTTGGATATCCGCAGGCAATATCGAATAGAAGGAGTTTCGCCATAAGAAAACTGGCCGCCGCACGATCGCTTTCGTAGTGGGTATCATGGCATTCCAAAACAATGGCAGTAACCTAAAACATTCAAAATGTGATACTACACAACAGGGGAAGGCGAGGTTCGTGCTGAACAAAAATTTCATTGGTCACAATTTTAGGCGGCTAATCTAAGAAGCGTAGTCACAGTCCCAGTGACTAAAGAATGAGAGCATTAAAAGTTGTGCAACCAACCCTTACATCTTAAAGACGCTCATTCGGATTGGGCATAAGCACTTTAAAGAAAAATCAGCATTAAAATTTGAATTATGGTGGCTTCTGATCTTGAGATGAGAGATACAGAAGCTCGAAACAGCTGCCATGTTGAATCACATGTCGATTCAACAGGTAGACCTATCCCTCATACGCCATTTGGAGACAATTTATCCTATCAGGTCCGATTTGGTCGAACCATTAGAGTTCTTAAGATACCGAATTAACACACGAGGTTTGCATTCTACGAATAGAAAACGACTCCAATTCAAGATAAGTATGAACGCAAAATGGGTTCAGAGTTCAGCTATTCTTGGCATGATATCTTACGGCGATAGACTATGATGACACCGATTAGGTGTGTGCCTGTAAAGTCTCGGTATGAGTTGTTGAAAAAACTCAATTTTGGGTGAAAAATGTGATCCCGACGATAACTCACTTCTAATGACACTGATTTGGCTGCCGAAGGCCAACAAAAGAGGTACCAATCTGATTTATGTGGTGAATTTGGCTGCCCACACTGCATGTGCAGTAAAATTTTATATAAAATACGCATAAAAACACAGACGCAGCAAAAGCGACGGAGCCAATAGACGGTTTTGCAATCTCATTGTGTATTTTTAAACCATTTTTTTTTTCAAATTTGAGTGTCTAGTTCTAAACAGGCCAATACGCAAAGAGACATGAACGCTTACTTATTTGGCCCCAGAAACCAAGTTTGGGCCAATTTATTGAATTCTCGAGGGGCCGAATTCATAAACAAAGCCCAACTTAATAGAATTTCGCTTACAGGTCCGCTTATTTACACACGCCGTTTCCATTTAAGCAAACACTTCTTGTTCTGGCGACTGGAAATGGATTTGAATTATTACCAGAGGACGCCGCTCAATGTGCAGACATGTTTCCTGTGACTGAGCCCAATGCTTGAGAACTTGACGTGACCTATAGTTAATCTCAAGATGTTGACAGATATGCAACTCAACAAGTGGGCATCCCGAAAATACCTACTCAATTGAGTCATTAACGATGTAAACAAAATGAAGCCATGACGCTTTAAAAAGGCAAAAACATAAAAATGAGCATCGGCCCCGCATTCCTCGCTCAAAAAACATGCATTTCAAACATCATCGGCCATGGTTGACACTGTGAATGACTAAACTTTCAAAAATCCGACTTCCCCGATTAGGAACGTGACCGTGTACACCCATGCCACGCCGCAGCCCATTCGACTCAGGTAAGTAGGGTAACTTTTGAAACACCATAACTGCGGTTAGACGTTATCACTTTGGATTACATAGAAACTCCCACTGTAATACTGACGGAGCTTTATCGTCTCGAATGGCGCACCGTTATAACACTAAGTTGGAAGGTTCCTGAAAGGGAGGCGGTCATGGAAGCGTCCTACAGTGTCACCCCCCAAAAACCTTTAAAGTCTAAACACACCAATCAGCATTAGCCCCATCAAGGTCACCACAAGTTCTGAGAATCGCAGTCTGACTTAAATTTTCATGTAAACGTTTAGAAGACTCGCGACCTGTACGTTTAAAAATGCGCCATTTCTATTGAAGGAAAATACGCCCATCATATTGGGAGGCTTCATACATATGAACATCAAATCAGAGGGTATTAATCAACGAATCGAAATAAAATTTTTCGAAAATTCTACCGATTATCGTAAAAACCTGCTGCTAAGGGTCACCAAAATGTTACCAAGACAATTTTGCCTACTGATAACGCATACCAACGCTTCACGAATCGGCACCGATTACACGATGTGAGTTTCGAAGTAACGGCAACGTGATTTTATTGCCCTTGTAAATCGATAGATTTGAAGATCAGTTACTTCATACTTTCAACTACTTGTGCCTTTAAATACATCACCACTTTAAATTGAATATGACACCGCTTATCACCGGAGAACAGCATGTAACAGAACCGGAACCACAATATTTTGAGAAATCAGTTGCTTGTCCACCTGTATTTCCTCGTGGCACTCTGAAAAAACATTAAGGCGCTTTTTCCCGAGATTTCTAACTTTAACACTATAACCCCACACACAATATTACCGACCAATTTGGCAAAACACCAGGTCCGGTTTAAGACACAATGTGCTTCGCCAGGACTGGAAATGACTCCTAGTCAGGCAAAATAGAATTTCAACCCGAGCAGTACTCGTTGAACTTATGAAAACGCGCTAAAGATATACGCAATTTTACCGGAAATACGAAATATTTCCCAAAATTGATTGCGGACACTAAAACTTGAGGTCCCGTAGGTTAACATCCAACCGACCACGAACATGGAGTTTATGAATTCACCCAATTATATGCGAAAAAAGGCCTTTTAACAACCACTTCATTCTCCACACCAGACATAGAAAACAAAGGATTCAACTACAAGATGTGTATTGTAGATCAGATGCACAACAAAACAAGTTATTTACTTCTTACAATTCCTGCTAGCCTCGCGGGCAGCAGTGACCAGAACATTTATAAAGTACTTATCCTTATATGGCTCCGTGGAAAGTGGTCCGGCCTGATCAGCGGCGCGTTTGGGCAAATGCGGCTTTCCAATTAGTGGCCAGGGATTCCCGCGGAGTTCAAGGACGCCGAAGCCGTCAGCAATAAATGCGTGTGGGTTCGGATGTGGCGGACGCTGCAATCTGTATATTCGAGTGTACGACCGATTATAAAATCGATATCGAGGAACGAGAACCTGCCGGTGAAAAAAGCGACTGATGCAGACTGAATAAGGTTTATTTTGTCGATGACATTTAGCCTATCTTAATGCCAATTAACGAAAAATAGCAAAGACCGAAATTGATGAGTAGCTTTTTCGAGTAATTTTAAGATCGCCATTGATTCCATTTATTTGTACCGATGTTAACTAAATAAAACGTGCTATGATGTAAACAATCGCTTAAAAAATGGTGCACACAGGATCAACCTCTAGCGGCCAGGTCAAGTTGAGGTCAACGTTTGTGCGATCGTAAACTAACGCGAAAATAATCCTTTCGAGAAAATACAAACCTCTCTAAAAGGCGTGAAACTGTACATCCCGTAAGGTGTAGTGACGGATGCAAATTACAAAAGTATAACACAAGCACGCATCTTTTCCGCATAGTTGTGGAATATCATCGCTTGAATAAATACAGAGACAATGATAAACTTGTGTGAAGAAACTTCACTTGTAGCACCCGCAATAATCGGAGATCAAAGCCTGCTTTCAGTGTTCGTGGCAGGATGGCATTTTTGAACAGACCTTGAGCTGACCCCTACAGCATGGTGCTGTATGCACAATTTTTACACTTTCGATGGAAGCTACTACCAGAAACAAAAGGAATTGAAATTTATCAAAACAAACGGGACTTGAAAATTTGGCGAACCCGCTGTTCACAGGCGTCGGCTCGTACTGCATTAGCTATTAATTTGGTTCACCGAGATTACAGGGATTCGTAAATCCGCATTTGCCTTTCTCGGTGATGAATGGTGGTTTCACTGACGACCTCCTCGTGACGAAATAAGCTTCGCTAAATAAAAAGCCATTACAAATATGCTTAGCATTTGTAATTCCACGGTACGCACGTTGAAACTACGACAAATTGTACCAAGGTTTTTGTTCAGGTTCATTGCAGCACACATCTTTGGTGAATGAAGCACAAAGGGAGTGTATATTGGTCCTATCCGGCACGACAACCATTAGGGCACACAGGAGCGTTGTGGCGGTGATTACTGGTATTTAGCCATGCTTAGTGGATAAGTGAATACGGAGTGGATTTATAATACATACATAGTTGAATGGGTTTTCTAGTTACACGACAGAAAGTGGTAACCTCCGAGTAGAAACGGTTGCCGTACATTTCTCAACAAACCTTTAGCAGTTTCAGCACTAGTTCTGGTTTTTGAAGCCAAAACGCGGACAACTCTAGCAGTGCAGCAAGTTCTGGATACTCGTTCCACGGCGGCTGGAGCAACTCGTCCAACGACAACGCCTGCGACAAATCACCGGTGAGCAGCTCGGTGCGCACGGCTTCTTGAATAAGCCTTTCAGCGTACTGACGTGTTTCGGTAGCAGTGGGCCACGGCAACTCAATGCGCTCCTCGTCCATGAGAGAGCTGACACAACGCCGGAGCCAAGAGATTCGACCCATCGGTCCACCGCCGACCCCCTCACCTCGACGCAACTTCTGAGACAGGCGTGGTACGTGCATCAGAAGCTGGTTTGCAGCCAGACCAACCTCGCGGCGATTGGGCTGAGGTGGAGTGCTGAAGTGGCCTGCTGCCCGAACGGCCAAGCCTGGGACTGAAACAAGGCGGGAACAAGAAGGACGGATCTGAAAAGATTACCACAAACACAGACTTGCAAGCATTTAGAACGAACAAAATATCCACAGAACGATGGCTAATGATTTTTTTTAATTATTGGGCTGGTGACGGCAGTAAAAGGAAATATAAATCGGGAAACAAACGCTTTAACTCAGCTGATAAAAGAGCTAGACGGTAACTATGTGTGCTGAGCAGAAAGTCAACTCATAACTATAACAGCGTATTTTACTTTAAGCTGTCAAAAGTAATGATAATCCTCAGCATACGGTTAGTCAGTGAAATAATCGAAAATGTAGAAGTTGCCATTTGAACCCGAACCGAATTCCGCTTTTAGACAATGGTCATACCGTTATTTAAAGCCAGCATCGCCAGGCAGACATAATGTCTCACCAAATAGCAGCCTAAGTTAATCGCGACATCCAGTCGAAAACCAAATTCCCATTTAACCACCCATTTGTTCAAATAAAAGCGAAACACGAACTTGCAAAAAACCCGACGGATGCGTTTCATGCAATAAGCGTAACATGGGTTTTGAAAAACAAGCAACGTATATTAACAAGTAACAGAGCCTTTTGGGTCTGGTTGTAGTTAAGAGCGCAAGGGCCATAGCCTACTTACACGCTATATTAAAACTACTACACTTAGCTTAAGTAGCCGTTCAACTCAGTTTACTGGGCGCAACAGCACTTCTAGGTTTTATTAAGCCTGAAAATGAAAATACGGCAGTCAAACAAACAACAGCCGAGCAAAACAGCAAAAATTATTTATTAAACAAAACCAGCGAAAATAAAGTAGTTACAGAAGGCAGAGATGGGGATCGGAAAAACAGAAACTGCCAAGTAAGAGAGTCACAGGTACAGCGTCCAATTCCAGACCAATCCGTCTAACAAAGGTCACTTGGTCACAGTTGGAAAGAGCAGACAACTGACTTCCAATGTCAGCAGTAAAACACATCCAGGGAGTACCTGTTGCGCCACGTCTCTCAGATTCTAGAGGAAGACGAAAAACAAGGAAATTGTCTGTTATATCCGTTATAATAAAATGAAAACCGTAATAACCCAAGCCCCATCGTGTAAGTGAGGACTTGCAGCGCGATACAGAGGGAGACAGCAAATGATAACGAAAAGGTTTACGAGGGCAGTTTAGCAAAAAAAAATGGCTTCTGTGTAGACATGGTGAGGCGTCAGTAACATGAGAGAAGACAACATAACCGCAGTTCTATGTAGGGAGGCGGTGAACGATTGTTGCCTTCTCGTTCACAAGCTCCTACTCTCGGAAATTACAAAGAAAAAAACCATCGGAAGGAGCCAAGCAGCGCTGTGGAGACAACAAAAATTAAAAAAAAAAACCTCCACAAAAATTTCAACCAACGGAGAAATTGGACAAGTAGGTGTTCAAGTGCGCCTTTAGACAAGAGCAGTAACCTCTGCAGCCCCATCTCATGAGCACTTGATTCCCATTTACGTCGTGTGTACTGACAATGACAATGCACTTCTGCCACTGTTTAATGCCACGACGAGGCTGCGAAAAGCGACATGGGTTCAACCGCGTTGCCCCCTCCCCGGCGGCACCAGCACACCCCAGAGAACCCGATTGCAACCAACGGAATGCCACTGCAGCCCATGACACTCGCCTCGCCTCCTTGACCTCAACTGCATTTCTCAAGTCGGGTGGTGCAGCATCCACGAACTCAGGACACTCCGAAGCAGCTCCGTCCCACTAGCGCATCCTGGCGTGCATGTGCCAAACGCAAGTGGGAGCCGCATGCAGGCTGCTGCAGACATGCGCAACAGTGGCATCAACGACTGCACCACTGTCGCGATTGTCAATTGCCAATGAGGCATATTCAGAATCCATGGTTGCTTGCGTCTCTTTCGACCACACCAAAGATTGGTGGGAAAGGCTAACACCTGCAAAAACCATCACTTTAGTGCCCGGGTCGTCGGTCTACTACCCACAGATAGTCAAAACCCACATATCCCTATCTCCGATGCTGATTTCGTTATTAATGTCAGCGGAAACGGGTACAAAATTTCCACAGAAAGAGCACGGTATACCATCACAAAAGAGAAGCAATACTTAGTATGACGCGTACATCGTATCCACACGTAAAGACATGTGCTCTCACGAGTTTTCGTTTTACATAACGGTGAGGCGTTACGCCAATTAACTTTTGCCGAAGCAGTTAGTGAGCGCATCGACGTAACGACGACGATGACAACGACGGTGATGATGCATGTGGGAAGCCAATCGTACACGCAGCTCATTGCGTGTGTCAAAAACTTCCTCCAGTTGGT